AACCCTAACCCTAACCCTAACCCTAACCCTAACCCTAACCCTAACCCTAACCCTAACCCTAACCCTAACCCTAACCCTAACCCTAACCCTAACCCAAACCCTTGGGCTTTGCAGCCTGGTGGCTGACAACAGCAATGTTCTGCATTGGTTAACTGTTTGCAGCATCAGAGGGCAAGAGGCCATGGAGGGACAGCTTGATCAATGCTGCTTTGGAGCGTGGGAGCAGCTGCGTGAGACCAGTGCGCACGGTCGAGGCATCCGCTCCGCGCTCCGAACACGCGCCGCGCTTCACCCTTGCCCTCCATCTACCACATCCGATGGCGCCGCCGGACAGCGCAGACGCGGCGGCCGAGGCGACGCTGATCCGGCGCGTGCTCTTCGCTGCCGCGCCCGCGCTGCCCGCCCCCATCCTCCTCTCCTCGCCCGGCCCGCTCGACCACGAGGCCGCGCTGCTGCTGGCGCACGGCCTGCGCGCGGCCGTGCTGCCGTGGTACAGCCGCCTGACGCCGGACCGCGAGCTGCTCACCGTCATCAGCGGTGTCTTCGCAGCCGTCCTCGAGCGCATCGGCCAGCGGCTCGGCAGCACCGACGGCCAGGCGGCGCTCGCACGCTTTGTTGGCGAGGAGCTGCCCGCGCTTGTGGCTGCCCACATCGAGGACGTACGCGCGTGCGAGGCCGCCGCCGGGACCGCAGCCGCCCAGCACGCCTCGCTCGCCACGCTCTACCTCTCCCGCGCGCCACATCCGGCGCTGCGCGTGCAGCCCGGCACGGGCGAGCCGCTCGTTGACGGCGCGTATCTGCGCGCACTCGTCGAGGCGCTGCTCGAGGCGCTGCTGCCCGCGGAGCACTGGGCGAGCGAGTGCGAGCGCTTCATCGTGCGCGACGTCGTGGTGGGCATTCTGCGAGGGAGCGTGCTGGGCCGTTGTACGCGGCCGTGGTTTCTCGTCGAGACGGCGCACAAGCTGCTCGATGCGCGGGCGTCAAAGGCAGACGAGGTCGCTGGCACATCGAAGGTGAGAGCGATACAGAACTTCGTCTGCGTGCCGCCGTGCTGAACCGCGGTCAGACTGCCACTGGCTTCAGCGTCGTCGCTGCGCTGCACAGGCTCGTGTCGCTCGCGCTGCTCTGCCTCTCCGTGCTACTCCCGCCCCTGCTGCGCGCATACGTCGAGCTCTTTACGCCGGCTGAGACGCAGCACCGGCGGAGAGCGCGCAGGAGACGCAGCAACATCGGTGCGCTGACGCCCGGCGGACCAGCATGGATCGCAGAGGCCGACGAGCCATCAATGGCGCCGCAGCCAGCCACGCGATCGGCCCAGTCTGCACCGCTGCTGCGCCTGCCGCCGCTGCTCTCGCTACTGAGCGTCATGTTCGAGCTGAGCAACCGCGCGCTCTCGCGGGCTGCGCTGCTGCTGCTCCATCTCGCCGGCGACCTCGGCCTAGCCGGGCTCGTGGAGACCCGGATCGACTCTGCGATGCGCCACGCCGTCGAGCCGCACCGCCTCGCACCCGTCGTGCGGGCCGTGCGCGAGGCCGCTCTGCCAGGCGGACAGCTACCGCCACCGGCGCCGCCCGACCCGACGCCGGCGCAAAGGAGGCGAGACTATGCTCGGCTGCTGCCGCGTCTGTGCGCCGCCATGCCAGCCCCGGTCCGCGCTCTTCTCCTCGGCGTCCAGCCAGCAACGCAAGAGGCCGCCTTGGCGCGCGCCGTCGGCCCGTTCATGGGCCCGCCACCGGCGCCACACTCACCCGACGAGCACTGCTCTGGCCTCGCGGAGCTGGCCAACGTCCGCCTGTACCTGGCCGTCCTCGAGCGGCTAGCCGTGCTGATCGACCCAGCTCTCGAGGAGACAGGACTTACCGCCGCTGCATGAACCCTCACACATCATACCCCGCACCATAGATCCCCCGGCCACTGCCATGCCATGCATTCCTATCTCGCCTTGGTGCAGGCGCTGACGGTGTCGTCCGCGTTTGCGATCTGTGCGAGTCAGCGCACGCTGCGGCACGCCCGCTCGCCTGACTCACCCACTGCGCCAGATCGCGCAGGAACGACGGCAACGTCTTGAGCAGCGGCGCAGAGTGAGCGTAGAAGGGCATGGCGATGTGCGAGCTCTCCTGCCGCTCGAGCGCATCGACCATCGCCTGCGCTACCGCCTGCGGCTCGAGCGTGGGGCTCAGAAATGCGGCAAGTGCGCTCGTCTTGACGTCTGCAAACAGCGGCGTGCGGATATGCCCTGGCGTGACGACCGTCGTGCGGACGCGAGGCGCTTTGTACCTGCTCAGGAATGTGTCAATCATTGCCACGTGGTTGACCCTGCCCACGCCCGTCTCACTTCTTGTCGAGCTCGTAGCGCAGCGCCTCCATGAGCCCGAGCAGCGCGTGCTTCGAGGCACAGTAGTCGGCTGCGGCATGCGTCAGCGCCGGATCACAAAGCGCGCCTTCCCGACGCACTCATGAGCGAGGCGCCGACGTAGCTCAGCGCACTGGCCGTGCAGACAATGTGCCCGCTGCCGCGCGCGAGCATGTGCGGCAGAAAGGCCTGGATGGTGTAGAAGTGCGCCTTTACGTTGGTGTCGAACATGCTGTCGATGTCGCCATCAGAGAGATCGAGGATCAGGTTGGGGTGGTTGACGCCGGCGTTGTTCAGCAGCATCGTCGGGTGCCCGACCTGAGCGGCGCACGTCAGCACCAACCTCGCCACAGCGAGCGGCGCCAGTCACCTCTTGGCGGATGCGCTCCGCAGCCCGATCAACGTCCGCTCTGCTCGACACATCGCACTGAAAGCTCCACTGCCGCCCTGCGAGGTGTGAGCTGCCGCGCATGGGGCCATGAAAGCGCCTCACCTTGAGCGGCGTCTGGGTCGTGGATGCCGAGCGAGACTACGCGAGCGCCTTTCGCGAGGAGCAGCTCGACGGCAGCGAGGCCAACGCCGCTCCCGCCGCCCGTGACCACGACGACCTGCTCCGCCCACTGAGCCGGCGTCAGGCATTGAGTGCGCAGAGTCCCATTGCGCCAGCGCTGCGACGCCCACGAGCCGCACCGTACGCCGACGTTGAGCACGGCGACGATACAGAGGACGAGCAAGCCATCGATGGCAAAGGCCGGCGCGCGCTGTGTCCAGAGCTCGCCCTTGACAGCGAGACACCCGGCGATGCACGCGAGGCTGAGCAACGGATCTGCACAGACGCTTCAGCAAGCCTGCTCGGCGCCGCAAGCCTGCCAGACTCACGCAGCAGCCAGGCAGCGATGTGATCCAAGCTGAGCCCTGCCATGCAGCCTACGCAGCAGATGTCACGACTGGCTTGTTGTGGTGTGCGCGAAGCAAGCCGCAGCGCCACGCACGCGGCGCGGACAGGGAGGCGCGTGGCTGCGCTCTCTGCTGCGTCGCGCTCCCACGGCGGGCGTGCAGTCTTCGACTCTGCATCACACCCATCCTCAATCCAGCCAAAGTGCAGCTTCGCATGGCAGTTGTATTACACGGCAACTCTATGGCCACGGCATGGGCACGCTCCGCCCTCACAGCTCCTTCTTCGCCTCGCTGGCCAGGCTGCTGACCACGTCGGGCATCTGCATGTTGGCCTTGCCCTGCTCGCTCAGCCCCGCAAGCTTCTTGTCCGCCTTCTTCTGCTGCGCCACGCCGCTGGCGCGGTCGAGGTGCACGCCGAGGCCCGCGCGGAACGCAGCCATGAGCGCGACGACGACGACGAGGCCGTAGTAGCCCAGCGCGTGCCAGCCGGCGAGCGAGTCGCGCACGCCGAGCAGCATGAACGGCAGCACCGTGAAGTTGACGCTCAGCTGCACGGCGACGATCGAGAGGCCGCAATACACGAGCTGCGCGGGCGTGTATGTGAAGAGCGTGCCGAAGGAGGGGTTCGGCGCACGCGGGTCGCGGAAGACGATCGGGCGCAGGTGCTTGCGCAGCGTGCGGCCGACCGACTGCGCGAGGCCACCGAGCACAAAGGTGACTGGCATTGCCGAGTCAGCGCTGCTTTCGAGCGAGCGATCCCTCGAGCACTCACGGTAGTAGCCCGGCGCGACGCCGTGCCAGAACGCGCTCGTCATAAACGTCAGCATCGTGCTCTTGAAGCCGGGCTTCTTGCCGGGCTTGGCGACGCGCTTGTAGACGCAGTTGCGCAGCCAGACGTCTGAAATGCGCGTCAGCCCCTGCACAGCCCGCTCGTCATGCGCCCTACGCACTCGTGTTCATGTTCCACGCATCGAGCAGCTCCTTCCAGTTGTTGGCGAACTCAATCTTGACGGGGTCGATGTTGCGGCAGCGGTCCCAGCGCGAGCGCGATGCCTCGTCCGACGCCGCACCCTTCGCCGCCGGCGCAAGGCCGTTGTACGCCAGGCCCGAGAGCACGCAGGCACCCTGTCGCAGCAGTGTCAGGGCTTGTACGCGACGTGTGCGCCACTGCGCGCTCATGCAGCGTGACGGCTACTCACGTTGGCCAGGCCCCAGATGCCATAGTACTTGGTGCGCGCGACCAGGCCGGCGACGTTCGTGATCCAGATGCGGCTCAGCAGGCTGCGGTCGAGCGCGCTGCCGGGCTCGCCCTTGGGCAGCAGCAGCGCCTCGTAGTTGTAGTCTGCCGCGAGCACGGCCCACACGCCCATGAACGCAAAGCCGAGCACGAGCTCGGTGATGGCGGCGCGCACGCGGCCCTTGGGCGGCGTGCGCGGCGCCGCCGACGACGAGCCGCCGTAGAGCGTGTTGCGCGACCAGGCGCGGTAGTCGACGAAGCGCGTCGAGGGCCCGATGAGCACGCCGGGGAAGAAGAAGCTGGCGCCGAGCAGCATCAGCGCTGGCCGTCAAACAGGGCACTGCGCCGCACTCACGCATAGCCGAGGAACTCGAGCAGGTCGGGGAACTCGGTGATGCGGTGCTCCTTCTGCTGGGCGTCGCACTCCTCGGCGGGACGGCGGCCGTCGTGCACACTCCACGCAAACGACGTGAGATTCATGCAGAGCACCATCTGCGCGGCCGTGATCTCGATGGTGGTGAGGGGAATGTCGCCGAACGCGCGCACGAGGTGGCTGCGCCGCGGTCAGCGTCGCACCACAGTAGGCCGTCCTCACCGCGGCGACTCACTTGACGGTCAGGTGGCCCATCTGCACGCCAAACACGATCCACGGCATGTTGGCGCCGCCGACGCGGAAGCGCGCCAGGGCGTACGTGGCGAGCGCCGTGGCGAGCAGCTGCGCGTAGCCGGCGCGCAGGTTGAGGATGCCAAAGAGGAAGAGGAACGACGTGGCGATGCTGAACGCATGCTTGACGTGCGGCGGCAGGCCCGGAAGCGGGTATGCCAGCGGGTAGGCGACGATGAGCAGCGTGAAGAGCTGCGCGGCGCCGGGCGGGTCAGCGGGCGGCCAGGTTGAGCAGGGCGGCAGGCGCCGCCGTCGCAGCGCGCACCTTGATGTAGTCGGGCGGCGTGGCGGCCGCCTCGCCGACGCGGGCGAAGAATGAGTCGAACATGGTCAGGCTGCGATGCCGCGAGCCGAGTGCTGGTGTGTGGGTGGTGGTGGTAGTGATGGAGGCTCGGCGGGGAGCAGGCCATGCGTGGAGCAGACTCACGCGCGAAGAATCACGGGCGCGCGCGCTAAGTCGGCCCCACGCTCGGCCTCCTCGGCTTTTTGGGACGCGGCGGCGGCCGATCATGGCATGCGTCATAGCCGCGGTGCGGCGTGGAGCAGAGGCGCGGGCACACACACACACACCGCAGCGGGCCACACAGCTCGGATAGACAGGTGGGCCTGAGAGGGACGTGCTGGAGTACAACAGGGGCGCGGGACGGACAGTCTGGGTACAGGTCATGCGAGGAGGTCGTGAGGGCGTCGAGCGTGGCGGTTCAGCATCAGCTGCGCGGCAGCAGCGGGCTGCGCTCCGACGCGCCGTGTGCCTCGTCGGCGTCGGCCGAGGCGCCGGGCGCGGCAGCTGCTTCCTCACTCGCTCCAGCAGCGCTCGCCTCGGTGTCCGCAGAGGCTACCACAACAGGCGCAGCAGCAGACGGCGACGCAGCCGGCACGTCGGGTGCGTCGCCAGCAGGCCCCGCAAGTGCGGCGGGCACCGAGGGCGGGATGGGCACTGGGACGCCGTCAGCGCAGCTCACGGAAGTCCGAGCGCCTCTCGACTCACCGGTCACGTCGCGCTTGCAGATCGGGCAGACCTTGCGGATGCGCACCAGCCAGTCGTCGATCCTGCGCGCCGCACGTCAGCTCTCAGGGGCCGTGCGGTGGTCGTCGTGCCGCACTCACTCGTTGCGGTGGAAGATGTGCCCGCACGGCAGCACGCGCACCCGGTCGCCGTCGACAAAGTCCGAGAGGCAGATGGCACACTCGTCGCAGCTGCGTAGATAGGCGTCACTGGTCAGCGCTGAGGTGTATGTGACCTGCAGCGACACGCACCTGTAGTACGACCGGCCGGGAGGCAGAAAGGCGTGGCTCGGATTGCCGCTCGGTGGCGGCACAGGCGTGGTGATGAGCGGCGTGCTCGGCCCAGCCTGGCCCTCCTCCTCCATGCCGGCCGAGCTCGGGCCGGCCTGCGGGCTGGCAGGCGACCGGGCTCCCGCAGGCGACTCGCCGTCGCCGCGGCTCGACACGGGCAGCGTGTCTGCGCCCTCGATCTTCTCCCACGGCTGCCCGTTGCCGCGCCAGATGAGGCACGGCAGCGAGAGCACGACGAGCTCCGGCGCACGGTCCTTGCGCCGCTGCCGCGCCATGCGGATGCGGTGAACAATGACCTACATGGGCTTGCGCATCAGCGGCAGTCAGGCCCCGGCGTGCGGGCGACTGACCGTAAAGATAGTCATGAAAGAGGGCAGGAGCAGGAGCAGGAGAGCAAGGTCGATGAGAGGCCTGCCGCAGCGTCAGCGACGGAGCATCGCGGCCCCAGCCGCTGCACTCACCACTCCCACATGATGTCGTCGCGCCCGAGGACGATCTCCAGGCCCTTGGCCCGCGTCTCGTCCTTGCACGAGCCGACCCTCTCGCACTCTGCGCGGCCGGCCTCGACGTCGAGCGCAAGCTCATCGACAAGCCTGCTGAGGTCGACGTAGCTCGGACGCGTGATGAACGTGCTCGGCACGTGCACGTCGGCCGTGCTGCCGGGCGCGAACATCGTGAGCAGCCGGCCCGCCAGGCCCGGGTCCGCCTCGCCCTCGCTGCCCGGCATGCGGTGCCAGCCGGGCGACGGCGCATCGCCCACGACGACGGCCTTGGCGCCGAGCGCCTGCGCGACGCGGACCTTGGAGACGAACGAGCAGCCGCCGCCGCGCTCGAGCAGCGCAATCCAGTCGTGCGGCGGCTTCAGCGTCGGCTGCTCAGGCACCTCGCCGCCGCGCTGCAGCACCAGCGGCGCATCCTCGTCGTCGGCACGCCAGCCGGGGCCGTCAGGGTACGGGCACGCCGCCGAGGCAGAGCCGTGCGGCGGGCGGTAAAAGTCGGAGATGGGCAGCAGCGAGCCGTGCAGGCCCTCGTCGGCCACGATGCGCGGGCCGAAGGCCGCCGGGCGCGTCACGTACGTTGCCTGCGTGCGCTGCGACTTGCCGTCAGCTTCGGCGGACAGCGACAAAAGGCACAGTGCGGCAGGAAGGCTCCAGCTCACGGCGCCGCCCAGCAAGAGGTATAGCAAGGCTGCCGAGCTTCACGCCTCGCAGCACGACCACGACGCCACACTTACCACGACCTCGAGCGTGCTGCCGCCCCACGCTAGGCTCGTGTCGCCGCCAAAGAGGCCGCCGCCGTCGGCCGTCTCGTCGGCGTCCCATGCGGCGTCGGCCAGCTGGGCGTCGTCGAGCGCCGGCAGCAGCGCGCTCGCCCACTCGTCGAGGCGCGCGACGAGGCGCTGCGAGAGGGGCTGCGGCGGCAGTGGCGCAGCGGCAATACCACGCGGCGTGTGCGGTGCAGCGGCGGCAGCGCGCTGCGAGAGGGCAGCGACGAGAAGCGCCAGGAGCGGCGCGGCGGAGCGCATGGCGGCGGCGGGCAGGAGCAGGGGCGCGCTGGCAGAGCAGGCCAGCGGTGGAGGGCGGAGAGGCGCCTAGGGTGCGGCGGCGGCGCGCAGTCGCGTGACAGCGAGGGGCCGGGGAGCGCCGGCTTGGGCGGGTACGAGGGGCGCGCGGACGAGCGGCGAGGGAGCGGAGGTGGTGGTGGCGAAGCAGGCTGCACTGGTGCTGCCACCCCTGCTGCTCGCTGAGAGCATCACGGCCCGCTCCCTCGCACCCTTTGACGACTCAGCACAGCGTGGCGCTGAGCCGGAGCGTGGGAACGCAGGCAGGGGCGGGCCGCAAGCAGCGACACAGGCCAGATGCCCGCGCCCGGCGTGCGCGCCGTGCATCGAGCGCACGGCGCCGCGACGGCAGCCACCGCACGCATGACGGTGACGGCGCCCCGCGCCCAGCAGCGCCAAGTCGGGCCCTCTCGCATCCCTCCACCACGCCGTCTCCCCTTCTCAGCCCGCCTCGCACCTCCGCCAGCACGCAGCACACACGAGCCGCACACTCGCGCTGCCCCGCACACCACCCGCGCTGCTGCTCCTCTCGCCGTCCGCCGGCCCAGCATGAGCGGCCTCGAGAGTGCGTGTGCCGGCGACGCACATGGCCAGCGCGTGGCTGACGCTCTCCTGCTCGCGGCGTCGCAGAGTCGCTCTTCCAGCTCAAGGTGCGTGCCGATGGTCCATACTGGCGGCCGGGTGCCAGATGTGCCGGCGTATAGCGATCTGCCGCGATGGACTTATCTTGTGTAGAGCTGCCAAGATGGCGACAGTGCAGCAGCAGCACGATCCTCGCAAGCTTGCCATGTCGCACCCACCGCAGCAGCTGACATTCCACCTCGCAGTTCACTGCCAAGTCGCTGCAGCGCCAGGCGCGCAAGGCCACCAAGGATGAGGCGGCAGAGAAGGCCAAGCTGAAGAAGGTGCGCGAGCTACACTGCAGATGATGGGTCGCTGTGGGCGCCGCGCTGAGGCATACCCTCCAGGCCCTGGCGCAGGGCAACACCGAGGGCGCGCGCATCTACGCCTCCAATGCCATTCGCAAGAAGAACGAGGGTCTGAACCTGCTGCGCCTCGGCAGCCGCATCGACGCCGTGGCCAGCCGCGTGGAGACGGCAGTGACGATGCGGCAGGTGAGTCGTTGTGCGCGTGCGCGGCAGCGGGACCCAGCTGCGCACAGAGCGTCGTGCACGTGCCGCCATTCTCACGACCGGTCATTCAGGTGACGGGCAGCATGGCGTCGGTGGTCAAGGGCATGGACCGGGCGATGGAGAGCATGAACCTCGAGAAGGTGAGTCGGGCCGCGGCGGCGCGTCAGGGCGCTGCATCGCGCTAACACGCTGCGGCAAGATCTCGCTCGTGATGGAGAAGTTCGAACAGCAGTTCGAGGACATGGACGTGCAGACGTCGTACATGGAGGGCACCATGGGCGCCACGACGGCCTCGGCGACGCCGCAGGACCAGGTCGACAGCCTCATGAGCCAGGTCGCCGACGAGAACGGCATCGAGCTCGACCACGCGCTGGGCGACGCGAGCGTGGCGCGCGTGCCCGACCTGGCCAGCAAGGCCAAGGTGCAGGAGCCCGAGGAGGACGACCGGCTGGCCGAGCGTCTGCGCGCGCTGCGGCCAGCGACCTAGGCATGGGACGTGCGAAGATTGGGGGGCTGCCGCGGCATTGTCATCGTATCACGAGGGTGCGAGTGGTGCGCGGCCACTGCCGGCGTGTCACTGCGGTATTGGGCTTGGACATGGATTCGGGGTCGCGTGAAGGTAATGAAGCACGGCACGGGTCACAGACGTGTGGCGGGGGCGCGCGGCGGAGGGCCGAGGCGCAGCGAGATGGGGCCGGGGAGTGCAGGATCAGGCCGCGGCGCCGCGCAGGCCGTTTCTACGGGGGCGGAGCGCATCGGCTTAGTGCTCGATGATGCTCAGGTTGCCGCTGATGAGCTTGTTCTCGAGGATGCTGCCGTCGGGAATCGTGATGTGGCTGCCCTCGGTGGCGATGATGATCACCGTGCCCGCGAGCACGACGTTGCGCCCGAACACGACGTCGCCGGCGACGGTGAGGTGGTCGAGGTCGGTGATGTTGGGGATGCTCTTCAGGCGCTTCTGGAAGTTGGCGACCTTCTTGAACGTGTCGCCGAGCTTGATGACGGGCGTCTGCTGGAATTGCCGCGTGGCGCTCATCTTGAGCACGCCGTGCTCGAGGTTGTACAGGTCCGACGTGATGAGCAGCAGGTCGCCCGTGCTCTTGACGGGCAGGAAGCGCGAGCGCGGCACGTTGACGCCCTTGGCGCCGCGGAAGTGCTTGATGGCCGCGCCGACGGCCGTCTCGAGCTGGATCACGGCCTCGCCGTTGTCGAGCGACTTGTTGTTGACGATGATCTCGAGGTCGAGCTCGTCGTTCTCAAGCACGCGCTTGATGGCCTTGAGGTTGAGCCACAGGTTGTTGGTGTTGAACTAGAGATATGCCGGGGTCAGCCACGGCACAGGCACATCGCGGAGCAGCCGCGCGCCGCGCCGGGAGGGCGCCGCCCCCCCCCCCCCCTCTCCTGGGCAGCCACTCACGATCTTGAACTTCTTGACGCTCTTGAACTCCTCGGTGTGCTCCGAGGGCACCTGCGCAATCTCGAGGAGGCGGATCGTGCCGTCGTAGTCGATGAGGGTGCCGCCCTTGACATCGGCCTTGGTCTTGTCGGTGACCTCGGAGATGAACTCGGCCTGCGTGTCGACCATGTGCTGGTAGATCTCGAGGTCGACGGTGGCGCCGAGGTTGTCGACGTTCGAGACGAAGACTGCGCGCGCAGAGTGTCAGCGCCGGCGCAGCTGCACAGCGCGCCGCGCGCCTGCTCACTGTACTCCTTGCCCGCGGCAATCAGGCGGTCGAGCAGGCCCGAGTTGTACATGGCGTCGAACAGGTCGCCGTGGCCGGGCGGGAACCACAGGCTCTTGTCGGAGATGGCGCTGCGCGGGCACGGCAGCAGGCTCTCCTTGTTGACGCGCGGGTAGCGCGACTGGTTGAACGTGAGAATCTCGACGTTGTGGTTGGCGTACTTCTGGATCACGCGCGCTGCAACAAGACACGTCAGTGCTGCCCGGAAGCGGCACCGCTCCGCCTGCGCTCACCCGTGTCGTCGTCCGTGTTGAACGAGTTCATCAGGATGAACGGCACATTGACGTTGTGCGTCGAGTTGAGGTGCTGCAGGGCCGCGTTCAGCGCGCGCCGCACAAGCGCACCTATCACATCGCACGCACCTCGATCTGGCGCACGGAGAGGTCGAGGAAGGTCATGCCCTCGCGCACCTCAATCACCGACTTGGGGCCAGTGCTGCGGGGCAGCGTGAGCGGCTGCACAGGCGGCGAGAGGAGCAGAGTCGGCTCACCAGCCCATCGTCGTGCCCAGGCCACCGTTCAGCTTCAGCACGGCGAGCTTGTTGAGCAGGCTCGGGTCCGAGGCCTTCGGCAGCTCGGCGTAGGGCGTGATCTGCTCGGGCGCCGGGGCGTGCACCTTGTTCCAGTCGCTGCGCGCAAGCACACGTGTGAGCGTACGGCGCGCTCGCCCGCAATGGGCTGCACGAGACTCACAGCTTCTCGCCCTTGGCGCGCTCCGAGAGGTAGCGGTTGAAGAGGGTGAAGAACGACGACATCTCGGCGTCGAATGCCTGGCGCAGAGAGGCACGCGTGAGCTCTGTGCGCAGAATGCGCCGACGCTGTGTCCTCGTGCTGCGCGGCAGACCTCGAAGCGCAGGCGTAGCTGCTTGAGAGACAGCGACCCCATCCTCTCCGGCGCTGCCTGCATCGGCCTCTTCAGAGCTGCCCACCCCGGTCTTTCCGAGGCTGCGCTCGGGCCTGCTTGCCTTTCGCACTCGCTTGCGGCCGCGCTGGCTGTCCTCAGCGCCGTTTTCGCCGCGCCGCACAGCCGCCCACTGCCATCCGGCCCGCGGCCGCCCGTGGCTCGCCGCTGCCGGCTCACCTTGCGCGCCACGGGGTCCTCGATGCCGGCGACCATCTTGTTGAGCTCGTTGCGCATGGCCTTGGCCGCGACGCCTGTCGTGGCCGACTTGAAGTCCTGCACGCGCAAGCAGGCGAGGCACGAGGGGCGCAGCGCGGAGAGGTGAGAAGGCAGGCGTCAGCAGAGACGCCAGCTAGGCCACGCCGAGCGGGCACTGACAATGTGCGAGGCGCCGCGCGTGCGGGCGGCCTTGATCGGCGCGCCGCTCGGAGGAGCAGAGAGCTGGGACGACATGGCACAAGGGAGGGTGAGAGGGTGTGGGGTGAGGGGGGAGGGTAGAGGTCGTAAGGCAAGGCACTGAGCGGCACTGCACGCAGACGCGGCCAGCCTCGGGGGGCGGTCTGTGCCTGCGCTATGCTGCTGCTGGCGCGCCAGCAGGCGTGAGGGCGCTGTAATGCACGCCGCCGCACGCCACGCCGAAAGCGACGGCCGCCGCTCCGGCGCCGGGCGAGCAGCACCAGCCCAGCAGCGCAGCATCCAGCGTCAAACGCAGTTGCAGCGCTCCGGCGGCGCGCGTCGCTGGAAGATCGCCATCCGGAGTTTGCCCAGCGTGAGGCAGTTCATCAGTGTCTCTCTGATGCTGGGGCTGTGGGGCGCTGCGCGGTCCCTGCATCCTGACCGTCCGCACTGTTTGCCACCGCACGTTGAGGGGTTCCCACGGTCACACGCAGGGCCGAGATTTCTCCCTCTCCGCAGCACCAGTTACGACGAATCTGCCAGCCGTCAAGCGTCAGCCGTCAGCCGCAGCCGTCACGCGTGCATGGTGATGACGGTGGTGAGCCGGCGGCATCCGGGATGGCACGAGGACAGCGCCAGGGGTCAGGGGTGCACTGTGTTGGCTAAGTGCAGCCTGGACTCCGTCTGTGCCGAAAAGAGCAGGTGGCCGAGCACGGCCGTCAGCCGCTTCAGCCGCCGCAGAGCGTGCAGCGAGCGAATGCTCCTCAGCGAGGACCTTTGTCGCTTTTGACCTGCTCAGCTCCACTCGCAGCAACCCCAAGCTTCACTAAGCAGCACGGTTACGCAGAAGTATGCGGAGAGCCACCGTGCCAGCCTGACTGCCGAAGACCGCGAAACGCTCGCCGCGAATGCTCGACGGATCGCTTGTGTGCGGCGGACAGGGGTGACACAGGATACAAGTACATGCTTGAACAGAAGAGTGAGAGGAGGATACGGAACTAGAGGAGCACTGCACAGTATGCTGCGTAGGCAGCTGCCTGGCGGGCGTTGTGCTCTGCCGTATCCGGGTTGCGTGCATGCGAGGCAGCCGACGATTCCGAGGAGGCCGACGAGTCCGAGGCGTCCATCGTGGCGACGTCAGCTGCGGCGGCAGCTGCCTCGCGGGCGTCGGCAGGCACAGCTGAGAGCGAGAAAGGCATCTGCGGTTGCGCTGGTGCGGGCTGCTGACGGCGGCCGTGGAGCAGGTGGTCAGACAAATCCTTGAGATGCTTGGTACAAGGAGCTTTAGACCGGGGCTACTCACGTCGTGACGCTCCGCGGGCTGCAACGAATGAAGCGCGCCGACGCTGCGCATGCTGTGGCGCTCGTCGGGCTGCGGAGAGCACTGCGTGCTGGCGTCGCTCATGTTGCGGTTGTCGCGCGACAGCGGCAGCTCTTCGCCGTCGTAGATGAGCTCACGGCGGCGGGCTCACCCGCACAGGCCTCGCCCCCGCGCGACGCTAAGAATCTTCACCCTTGTGTCACTCTTTCAAGCCAAAGCAATGCCCCGCGCCTCTTCGGAAGGCCACTCCTCTCGTAAGTCGACGAACACAAATATCAACAGCGTGATACATTAAGCCTCGAGCGGCAGCAGAATTCGTGCCCGGCGGCGCATGAAGCTGACACACGCCGGCTGTGTGTTGTGGCCGGCCGCGTCTAGCGGTCGCCTCGGTGCATCTCTATCGCTTGACACTTCAGAAGCCCGCATTGAGCGCTCCCGTCAGCTTGTCGGCCGGGTCTGGTGCGGGAAGATATCAGCTTGTGGGCAAAGAGCCGAAGACACGCATCGCGTCTCACCGGAGTCAAGGCGTGCCATCTCGATCTCGGACAGAAGCTGTGTCGCCGACGGTCAGCAGACTGGCGCGCTAGCGCAACGCTGCCACGCACCTTCTTGATGCCTATGTTCAGCCGCCCGCTCTCTTCGATGCCGGCGCTCTGCAGCAGGCTCATGCAGCGGTCATGCTCGGCCTGCGACTGGAACAGGCCCGTCTCGCGCACGACGTGGTCGACGGAGCGCAGGCTCGTGATGGCCGGCACGCGGATGTCGGCCAGGAACGCGTCGGCGAGGTCCATGTCGACGAGCATCGGCCGGTTCGACGTGGTGGCCAGCACCAGCAGCCGGCGGTCCTGCGCGGCGGGAAGCACATCAGCCGGCGCGGGCGGGCCAGCAGCTCGCCACAGGTGCTCACCTTTGGCGGCTTCTTGCCCAGCAGCACGCTCAGCGCCTGCAGCACCGGGTTCGAGAAGCGCGGGCCGATGGGCACCCACTCGACGATCTTCTCGATCGAGTCGACGACGATGATGCTCATCGGCGACTTGTACGAGTCGTTGAAGACCTTGTTGAGGTAGGCGATCTTCTGCGCCTCGCCCATGCCCACCATGTTCTCGGGCGAGACGAGCTTGATGAAGGGGAACGACGAGGCCATGGCCATCGTCGCCGCCAGCGCCGTCTTGCCCGAGCCCGGCGGGCCTGCGGCAGAGTCAGCATGCGAGCGGCTCGGCGTGGCGGCAGCGTAGCGCACCGTGCAGAAGAGCCGTGACGAGCGGTGTGCGTGTGCTGGAGCGCACCTGCTCGACGCGCAGCTGGCCGTCTCGCAGAATGACCTGCATCAAACAGAGTCAGTGCCAAGCGCGGCTTCCGCAGCCAGGCTGCACCTACGTCAATGTGCGGCGCAAAGTGCATGATGCCGTTCGAGACGACCTGCTGCAGCTCCTCCTCGGCCACGCCAAACGCCGGCTGCACCTCGTCGAGCGCGTGCATAAAGTCGTCGCGGTTGACACGCATGCCCTCGACGTCGTCGCTGATGCCGGCCATCGTGCCGACCTTGACGTGCCGGTTGAAGGCAAACGACGTGGCGCTCTTGACGAGGCCGGCAATCTCGGCGCCCGAGAAGTTCTTCGTCTGCGCCGCCAGCTCGTCGAGGTCGACGTCGTCGTCCATCACGCCGTTGGTGCGCATCTTGTTCGTCTGGATCGAGATGATCTGCCGCCGCCCGTGCTCGTCGGGGAGGTTGATCTCCATGTGCACCTCGAGACGGCCGGGACGCAGCAGCGCCTCGTCGATCATGTCGAGGCGGTTCGTCATGCCGATGAGCAGGATGTTGTTGAGCTGGTCGACGCCGTCCATCTGCGCGCACAGCCGCTCAGCAAAGCATACCGCTGCGACATGCGCCGCGACGCACCTTGGACAGCAGCTGGTTCACCACCGAGTCGCCCACGCCCGTGCCGCCGCCCGTCGAGCCACGCTGCTTGCAGATCGCGTCGAGCTCGTCGAAGATGATGATGTGCAGGCCAGACTCGTCGCCCTTGGCTTTGTACTGCGGAGAGTGCATCAGTGAGGCGCACCACTTGGCTGCACACTGCCGCCCTCACCTCCTTCTCGGCGTCGGCAAAGAGCTTGCGGACGTTCTCCTCACTCGCGCCGACGAACTTGTTCAGGATCTCCGGTCCGTTCACAATCTTCGGCTCACGCGCGTTGAGCATCTTGCCGATCTGCCGCGCCATGAGCGTCTTGCCCGTGCCGGGCGGGCCAAAGAGCAGGATTCCCTTGACGTGCTGGATGCCCAGCTTCTCCACGAGCGCGGGCGGGAAGATGCGCGACGCAAAGGCGCGGCGGAAGATGGCGCTGAACTCGTTGTCGAGACCGCCAATGCCCATGTCCTCAAACTTGAAGTTCGGCTGCAAGATGGCGTTCGGCGGCGCGCTGGGCCAGGCAGAGCGTCAGCCGGGTTTCGAGCTGCAGCGCGGGCGTGCCTCACCGCTTGCCGCTGGCCTTGATCTTGATGGACGAGTCGCCGGCCTTGATGAAGTTGACCGTGCTCTGCGCCATCAGGATGCCCTTGTCGCTCCGCACGGGCGCAGCACCGCCCGTCGGGGCAGCCTTTGCGCCCTTGCGGTTCAGCTGCTCGGCCTCAACCACCTCGACGCCCGTGATTACTGCGCGCAGGTTCTGGCCGTGGAATTCAAAGACCAGCAGCTGGCCGATGGAGAAGATGTGCGACTCGAAGGCCTGCAAGACGCGCCTCAGCAGGAGGCAGAGAAGCAGCGCCGCATGCGCAGACGCACCCGCAGGAAGTTGCGCTGCATCTCTTCGGCATCGAACGACTCGGCGATCTCGGTGCCCTTGCGGAGGAAGCCGACCTGACAGACGCACGGCGTCAGCCAGCAGCGCTGAGGCGGCCGTACGCATGCTGCTCCCAGCATTGCCGCAGCAGTCAAAACTCTCACCTCAACATCGAGACTGGCCAGATACACGCCCGAGCCGTGCGCAAAGGGGTCGTACGGCTCGGCGCGCACGCTGTGGCCCTGCGCGCTGAGGCCGGCCCACTGGCGCTGCAACAGCGCGGTGCCGAGCGTGCGCGGCTGGATCTGGCCCGTGGTGTCGGCGCTGTGGCGGTGCGTGAGCAGTGCATCCAGTGCAACCAGCCCCAGGTGCGGCTCACGCAGCAGTAAAGACGAAGCGCCCGTCGACGAGCACATACTGCGTGCCGCCCCACTCCTGCGCATTGACGACGAGGCAGTTGGACAGCACCAGCGCATCGGGGCACTTGACGATGAGGTGCCCGCCGCCGTGTGCCGGTGCGGCGGGCTGCTTCTCGGCGGGGTAGCCAGCCGACGAGGCGGGCGGGGCGGTGCGCCGCGGCTCGTAGCCGGCGCCAGCACTGTAGGCCGAGGCGCCGTAGCCGGCCGACGGGGCACCGCCAGGCATGTTCGGCGCATAGCCCGCACCGCCCGCGCCGCCCGAGCCATATGCAGCACGGCCTGCGCCGCCAGCAGGTGCGCCATACGCCGAGCGCTCGGCACCGCCGCCGCCGCCGCGAAGGAAGCCAGCCATCGGTGATGCGCGGCGCGATGGATGCGCGGGTGAGAGGGCGAGGCTTGTACGCCTGGGGTGTGAGGGGAGGGGGGGAAGGTGGCGTGCAGCGTCTGTGGGGCGATTAAAGCTTGGGTGAAAGAGCAGGACGGGAGTCAAGGTGTGTCGGCCTGGCTGAGTGACAAGAGCGAGGTGGTGGTAGAGGGGAAGGCAGCGGCAGGCACGGGCCAACGCTGCCTGCTGCAAGGCAGGCCGCGTGCACCTGCACGCCGCCTGTGCTGCTCTCTGAGCCTCCAGCGCGTCGCCGCGCGGCGGCGCAGCTTGCCCCTCGGCGCCGCTGCAACCTGCACCTGACAGCTGCTCCAATACGGCACTGAAAGCTGACGAACAGCTTAAGCAGTGGCAGCATAGGATTTTGAGCCCAACATGGGCTCGACGGTGCTGCACAAGCGGCCGACTGGAGCACCCTTCGTGCCGGCCGTCGCCTGAAGAATGCCTCCGCGCCGCGCGCGCCGTCGCTTCTCATCCAGTCGAGCTTTCCGCCACTGCAGCCCAACAGCTGCTTCGGTACAGCATTCTGAAGTCGGCTTGATAGCTTCAGCAGTAGCAGCATGGCATTTTGAGCTCCATAGGTGGGCTGGGTGGTGCCTACAAGTACGTAGCGGCCCGATGAGAGCCCACGTCCTGCTGCAGCCAGGACGCAAGCGAAGGCCGAGTCCCGGAGACCGCAGCTGGAGCCTCACTGCTGACGCAGCTCTATCTCTGCTAGCCCGACGGCCAGCTCACGACCACCACCTCCCTTCGCCTTCCCCTGCCCTGCTGCCGCCATGGACCTCGCCTACAATGCCCTGTGAGTGCCCGCAGTCAGCGTGCTGTGCGCGACACATGTCTCATCGCACGCCGGCCCCTGCGCCGCCCCCTCCACATAGCGACCGGGGCTACATTCCCGACTTCGCCCTGGTGAGCTGGGGTGCCGAGCGCTGCGACGGCACGCAGACTGACGCCGCTGCAGCGACGAGCGATCCGCGCCCTGAACGCCCAGCGCATCGCCTCGCTCATCAAGCCGTCGCCCTCGTACGGCGCGCACATTGCGGCGAAGCTCGAGTACGTGCGCTCGCTCAAGAACCGCGAGATTGCCATCAAGACGGCGCAGGCCAACGAGCAGCACTACGAGGTCGACACGGAGTTTATGCTGAGTGCGCTCGGCAAGAACGCCAAGTACTCGTGCTGCCTGTACGAGACGGGCAAGGAGACGCTCGACGAGGCCGAGGGTGAGTGCGGCGCGGGCGCATCTGGGCGTGCCCCGCACCGGCTGACCGCGCCGCGCAGAGGCCATGCTCAACTCGTACGCGGCAAAGGCCAAGCTGCGCGACGGCCAGGCCATGCTGGACCTCGGCTGCGGCTGGGGCTCGCTCTCGCTCTGGCTGGCGGCGCGCTATCCCTCGTCGCAGATCACGGCGCTCTCCAACTCGCGCACACAAAAGCTGCACATCGACGCGACGGCAAAGCAGCGTGGTCTGACGAACCTGACCGTCGTGACGGGCGATGTGAAGGAGCACCAGTTCAAGGAGGAGAGCTTCGATCGCATTCTCAGCATCGAGATGTTCGAGCATGTGCGTGCCGCCGGCGGGCCAAGGGTGGCGGGCGCTGATGCACGTGCCCTCGCCAGATGAAGAACTACGCGCTGCTCTTTGAGAAGGTCGCGACGTGGCTGAAGCGCACGCCGAAGGACGCCAGCGCAGACGACAAGGCCCTGCTCTTCATCCACATCTTCTGCCACCGCACGACGCCATACCACTTTGAGGAGGGCGACGGCTGGATGACGAAGCACTTCTTCGAGGGTGCGTCCTGCGCGCATGACTGCGTTCGTGCTCGGTGCTGATCCCCTGCTGCAGGTGGCACTATGCCCAGTCACGACCTCTTCGTGAGCGCAGCCGCCGGCAACTTTGGCGGGCCATCGCTGACGCTGGGCATTGCAGCTGCACTTTCAGAAGGACGTGGTGCTCGAGGAGATGTGGTGGTGAGCACCGCCGCGCTGCATGCGCCGTCGCGCTCGCTCACATGCGCTCGCACTAGGCTCAACGGCAAGCACTACGCCCGCACCTGCGAGGACTGGCTGGCGAAGCAGGACGCCGGCAACAAGGGCGGCAAGTCCATCGCTGCGCTGCGCAAAGACGCCGAGCGCAAGGGCAATGACCCGCTCGAGGGCGAGAAGACATTCTACCGGTGAGTCGGCGCGCCCCACTCTCTCGGCCCGTCATGCTCTGACGCAGCTCCCAGCTTCCGCGTCTTCTACCTTGCGTGCGCCGAGTTCTTTGGCACAAACGACGGCGAGGAGTGGGGCGTGGGTGCGTCCAGATGTGCGACTGCCGCAGCGCGTGTGCCTAATGCCTCCTCTCCATCCAGGCCACTACCTCTTCTCCCGCAGGGACTAGAGGGAGCAGATGGCCAATGCAATCGCTTTTGCCCACAGCACCTGGTGCAGAGCCTGTACCGCCTCTGCTGACGATACACATAGGTGGCAGCAGCACCAGCAGCTGATAAGTCCCAGGTGCTGCCCTGCGGTGCTCGAACAGAGTCGTTCCCTTTCTTGCCCAACAGGCACGGCCGCAGCGTCACCTCGGTCGAGCTTCCGTGAGGATGGCTAGTCACCGCTGACCGCTCGGGTCCCCTCATCGTGGCTCCGTCTGGGCTGCGTTTGTTCCTGAGTCGAGCGCAGTCAACCCGGCTCCTATCCGGCCAACATCAAGTGGCCAGCACAGCATCCATTTTCCCGCACGGACCCTCGGCTGCAGGTACGTTTCTGCGCACTCCGCGCGCCGTTTCGACCTGGCCTGCCCCCGCAGTGCTGCACGAGGCATCCGTGTGACTTCGCGCGATTCCGCCACGTACAGGAAGGGACCTAGCCAAGCGAAAGGATCCCGCAACGCTCTGCGCCTCCCTCTTGGCGAAGGTTCACCTCCAGGCCCCTGTCTACCAACATCAGGGAGCGAGCCGCGGAGCAAATGAAGGCGCAGCGGCGGGCGGAAGACGGGCGGCGGCAACGAGCGCGCAGCTGCCTCCGCTCTTGCGTCATCCTTGCCAAAGGACCGTCTCCTCTGCTCACCTGTTCCCGTCCTGCGAGCTGCATCTGCACCTGTCGATGTCGAAGGACACAACACGCAACGAGCTGCGCACGTTTGTCCCACTCTGGCCTCCACTCTGAGCCTCGATGCAGCTTACTCGACGGAAGCGCCCCTCAGCACGCCGACGGCTCACGCTCCCGTTTGGCAGCTCTCACCTCTTACGTCCTCTCCTCATCCCCTTGCGCCTGTCGCACTCGCTCCAGCCTCGCCCTACTTCGCCAGCCATCTGCGATGCCCACTACCCTTCGCCGCCTCTTCCGCGAGCGAGGGCCTGGCCGCTCGCATTGTCACACGCCCACTGATGGCGCAGTCGGCGCAAAGACACAGGCATCCTCGCCGCCAAACGACCGGCCTGACTTCACGAGCATCGAAGACAAGGCGCCGCCGCAGCAGCAGCTGCTACAGGACAGCGTCTACGTGCCAGACAGCCGGGCCGCGTCCCTGCTGAGAAGCAGCAGCAAGCCGACGACGTGGCGCCAGCGGCTGCTGCGCGTCTCGTCGACACGCCGCTCCGGCGCCTCGCCTCCAGAGACGGCAGCGGCAAGGACAGAACGCACTCGCGCACGCCTCCAGTCAGCGCCCGACCAGCCGGTGCCTCGCGCCGAGCAGCCGCGAACGCCTTTGACACCGGGCAGGAAGCGCGCTAGCACCGACGCCACGCCATCCCTGAAGCGCAGCGTCTCGGCGAGATCAGACGAGCGGCGTGCCCGCCCGGGCGATGCGCTCCCTCGGCATGACAAGCACAGCCGTGCCGTCGGGCGCCAGGCGTCGGATCCGTTCGCGGCCCTCCCGATGCTCCCTGCCTGGCAGACGGATGCGCGTGTGCCGAGCCTGCGGGGCGACGAATCCTTTCTGCGCTGCGCCAGCTCGCCACGCACCACGTCCCCCGTGGTTTCCCCTAGCATCGCCCGAGTCATTCATCGCGACTACGCTTTTCCCTCGATGCCGGCGCCCGACCACGGCGAGGATGGCGCGCCGCCGCCGCCGGGCGTAGACGCAGAGTGGGACGAAGTGCGCGGCCAGGCGCAAGCAAAGATTGCCTCCTGGAGAGCGGTGAGCCCTGCTGTTGGCGCATCAAGGGCCAAGGCCCGCACCTGCGCTAATCCTTCGCACAGCGCATGCAAACGGGCGGCTCCGAGTCCTCGGCCGAACCATGCACCGAGCGCATCCGCATGCTTCCGCCGCTGAGCCGGCCTTCGACGCTCAAGGGCGACGGTCCAGTCTCCGGCGACAACGCGGAGAGCTGCGCCACCTCCCTACTGCAGCAGCAGCTGCTTGCGCTGCTCACACACGACGAGGTGCTGGCAGCCGCGGCCGCGACCGCCGTGCCAGATGCCGTCGACCGGGCAGGCGCGATCCGTCGGATCAGCGTAATCCAGCCGCCCCGCGGAGACGCTGTGCAACGGCTGGAGACGCTGTTCCGACGTGCACTTCAGCAGCCACGGGCCAGCCTCGGTGCCTCGGAGAGCGCATCGACGACAGCACCGGGTGAAGCAGTGCTCGGACACGACACGCCCGACCGGCGCGGCACGCTGGAACTCATTCAAAGCCCAAACATGTCGGAGGCGCCAAGCACTGCGCTGGACTCCGACGCCTTGTGCTCTCGTCTGCCTGACTTGGAGAGCGAACAGGAGCTCTGGCGGAAGCATGCCGCTCGTCGTCTGGTCGACGGCGGCCGAAAGCCCAGCAAGCACGACCAGCGGCACGCTTCCGGGCGTGCAGAGCCACCACACAGGGCGGAAGATCCTGCCGTCGACCCAGCGCAGCGTGCAGCGACGAGTGCAAAACAGGCTTTGCAGCGGCAGCAGAGCCACGCCGGACCTCCTGCGCCGGCGGACCACTCCGTCCCGAGTCGGCGCCAGCAGCGCAGTGTCTCGCTGCAGTACTTGCCCGCCGGCGCCCGCGCTCACGCCGAAGCTGATGCCGCAAGCACCACGCTCGGCGAGACAGCGCTCGGCACACCCACAGTACTCTATTCCAGCCTACCGCGCAATGCAGCGAGACCCAGAGGGCACTCGCCGTCCGGCGCCGAGCAGCGCACACAGACCAGTGCCCCGCTGCGCCATCTCCCGTCTGCGAGAGACGAGCCCGGACCGACATCAACGCGCATGGAGAGCACGCCGTCACGGGTCAGGCTCTGGCTCGACACGGCGCCCGTCGCTGCCTGCTCCGCACGGTATGCTGCCAGCGCTACCGCCACGGAGCCCTCGACCTTCGAGCGCCTGGGTCGCTGCGGCTCTACTTCGCCTTCCGAGCTTACATCGGTCAGCAGGATGCTTCCGAGGACTGCCGACAAGAGCAGAGCGCACGAGCGTCAAGTGTCGCCGCCACAAGCCTTGCACGACACCGGCAAGGCTAGCGATGAGGCACTGCAGCTGCATGTGCGGGCCGCAGACTCTCACCGCTCTCGCCAGCATCGCCGCTCTGCCGATCCCGTTGGTCGTCGCGAAAGCTGGACCCCTCAGGTAGGTAGCGTGTCTCGCTCCTCGCGCTCCCCGCTTGAGCTGCTCTAACACATTGCTGAGCCAGTCGGGCACTCGGCACGTTCACAAGCTGGATGACAAGGAGCTCATGATGCTGCTCCGCGGCGTGACGTGAGCATGCGTACCGGCATGGCGCAGCGCGTTCACGATCTGACCTCGCCCCATCGCAGGCCGTCCAACAAAGCTCCCCCCAAGGAAGCACATCGCTCGAGGGGCCAGGCTTCGGCATCGCCCCATGGGACTGGAGCATCGAAGCGCGGCAAGCAGGCAACCCCACTCCTCGCCCAGGAATCTCACGAGCGATCCAACACGCGCGACTCGCACGACGCCACAGACGCCGACCGCCTCCGCGCACACATGCTGCTCTCCACCTGGCTGCAGCAGTGCTGAGATCGAGCAGAAGCAGCACACTCACACATATTCTCTCGCGAGCGCAATCATGATCGTCCATTACTGACTCTCGCTCGGAAGCAGCCCGTTGCTGACCAGCAGCTTGCGGTAGACGGCCACCTGGCCGCGCTCGAGGTCCAGGTCGCGCTGCAGGGACCTGCGGGAGAGAGCATCGTCAGCGGCAGCTGGGCGGCACGGGGCACGCAACGCGCACTTGTTGAGGATCGTGGCCTCGTTGCGCTGTCCCTTGGCGCGCTTGACCTCGGCGCGAAGCGCGGCGAGCTCGTCGTCGCGCTCGCCCTGCGTGTCGGCCCACATGCCGTCGAGCTCCTCGTTGAATGCCTGTGCCATGCCACGCCTCAGCTATGCAGGCCTGATGCGAGCCTGTCTGGCTGCACTCACAGCATGAAGCGCCGTGTTCTCCAGGCGGCCGTCTTGCTCGAGCGCAGTCAACAGCTCGCACTTGCGCTCGAGTACCTGGACCTTGCCACGGAGCGCCTTTGCCTCGCGCGCGTCAGCAGCCAGGGCTTCCAGGCGCGCAGCTGAGGCACCGGCATCCTGCGTTTTCGCCTGCGGCTTCCTTGCCGCTTCCGCAAGCTGGCGGACGTGCTGCCCCAAGGACTCGACGTCTGCGGTAGCGCTCTTCTCGCGCTCGGCAGCCTCCTCGATCCAGTCATCGAGGCGCCGCAGCAGACCTTCGACGGTGGCTACACCCACGACACTGCGCTTGAGGCTCGGTGAAGATCGGCTCTGCTGGAGATGAATGGCTCAGTATTCGTCTGTCTTGAATGCGCAGGGCACGTGCTCACATTCGGACACGCCTCTCGCATGATCTTGTCGCGGTCTGAGCTGCCACCGGACATGGCAGCCCGCAGCGTGTTGCGGAAGGCCTCGATGTCCAGCTGGAGCTCATCGACCGCTACGAACGCATTCTGCGAGCGCGCAAGCAATCTGGCAAGATGATCCTCTGCGGTAGTGCTCGGCGCTGCCTCCAGAGGAGTCTCAGACCGCGGTCCAGCGGGGCTGGGACCGCGACTCGAGAGAACGCTGCCGTGACTCGCGCTGCGACAGAGAGTCTCTCCTCCTGGCGGCTCGTCTGACGGAGGCCCGTAGGAGGCTCGCTTGCTGTTTTGCGCTGCAATACTCTCGTCCGGCGGCAGTCGTCGCTTTGATCCAGACACGACGCGGCGAGGAGCTTCGGGCGTGCTGGCCGAGGAGGCGAGGTCGTCGCGTCGACTCGAACCTGGCACGGCCTTGCGCAAGGGAGAAGCGACGGATTGCTGCCGGTCGTTGAGCTCGGGAAGAACAGGCGTACTGTGCGCCCGCTGTCGGCTGGCATCTTTCCGCGAGGGTGTCATGGGCGAGCCTGACGCTAGCTGACGCCCCGAGCCCGATGCGCTGTACCGTGGCGTCAAATCGAAGCTGTTCATGCCAGGCTGGGAGTCGAAGGACTGGTCCGCGAGCTCAGCGCCGTCCGATGATGCACTCCGGCGAGTGCGCTGCTCGTCTTGCGCAGAGCCGCCGCGACTCAGCGGCACGCCGAGCTTGTGCTGCTGCCCATGTGGGCTCGAGACCATACGTCCGAGCATATCGCGACTGCCGGCGCTTGTCGCCATCGTCGAGTATGTATGCGCACTGATGCTGCCGTTCTGACTGACACTCGTGCCTCCGATGCTGCTGGACTTGCTGTGAGCGCTTCTGTTGCGCCGCGCAGGCGACAGCGAGCCTCCGAATGAGCCATCTGCGCCAAATGCTCCGCGCATGCCGCTAGGCGTCGCGCTTCCGAACAGGTTGCGACTGAAGCTCTCCAAGCCTTGGGCGACGCGCCCTCGGTGGGAGGGCGTCGAAGGCGCACCCGACTGGGGCGTTCCGTGCGCCGACGCGGGGCCAAATTCGTCGCGAATGCGCACGGCCTGGGCTGTCATCGCCCGAAGCTGAGATGCAACGTCGCCAATGGGCATCAGCATCCTGCTGGAGTCTTCCGGCTGGCCCTTGAACGTGGATGTGTAGCTGAGGAGAACACACTCGTCAGCGTGTGGACGGCACGGCTGCGACATGCACGACTCACGAGCACTCGCCATACTCCTCGTCGATGGAGTGGATGCGCAGGGCAGCGAGCGGCGGCATGGCCTCTGCACCGAACGGCAGCGCATCTGCTCCCCGCAGCGGGTCGACATGGAGCACGACAGCACTCTGCGCCGCATAGACTGTCAGCCACCTCCGCATCAGCGCTTCTGCCTCGCACCAACTCACCTTCGATGCCTCCGCCAGGTAGCGCCGCCTCTCGTACACATTCCAGTACACCACCCTCTTCACAGGCTCTTCACCCGGCTGCGCCCGCGCAGGCTGGAGCATGTTGCACCTCACATGGCTCTTGCCCTCCCGCGCCTTGTACAGCGCTTGCGCGCGCCAGAGATTGTTCAGGAAGCGCGCCTTTTCGCTGCGGGCAGACGAGCCAGCGCCCGCTTCGGCGCCGGGCCCAAAGCCCGCGCTGGCGCCTGCTGAGCGGCTGGGCGAAGCGGACGGCGCGCACAGCGAGTACGTGTCGTGAGTGGCGTACTGCCGCACCAGCCGGCTGGTCCACTTCTCGCCGGTAATGTGCGACGGCGCGCGCGAAAAGGCGAGCTGGAAGTCTGAGGTGCGCGGCATCAGCTCCGGCTTGCGGCGGCCCGGAACCGCGTGCGCAGCTACTCACCCGTGGCGCCAAGATCAGTGGCTCTGACATCCATGAGGTCGATGGTGCCTCTGAAGCCCAGCTCGATGCGCGGTCCCTTTCCGGCAGCCGACGACGATCCGCTGCGCTCCACGAAAGTGCGCATCTGGTCTGCCAGCTTCGTCAGGTCGTCCAGGCCCACAAGCCGGCGGCCGCAGCTCGAGGAGCTCGCGCGCTTGACGACGGCGATGCAGTCGTCGAAGAGGAAGAGACTGCAGTGCAGAATCTTGGGCGAGCCGTTCGAGCTCGAGCTGCCCGGCGAGAAGAGGCTGGACGGGCCGAAAATGTCGAGCGGAAAGTCCTCTACGTCTACGCAGTCGATGAACTGGCGGTGCACGGAGATGAGACCGTCGGGAAAGCCGTCGACCGAGCGCTTGCAGCCCCACATCACGGCCGCGCGCCGCGTCTTGTCGTCGACCTCGCAGCGAGCGATGCGCGACGCGAGCACCACTGCCTCTTCGATGCGTGCGCGCCTCGCATCTGTGCGAGCCATGTGCCGCAGTATGGCGTCGAGCAGGAGCGTGTAGCGCGGAATGCGCTGCACAGGCTCCATGAGCAGCTCGCGCAGGCCGATGTTCCCCATCCCGGCGGTGCTCTGCTTCGTCCGCTGCGGGTCGCACACAGCGTCAGTCTCGCAGCGCGTGCACTGCCAGGCCGCTCGCGAAGCTCACCTCGACGAACTCGCGGAAGCCGCGGTTGCTCTTCATCATGCTCTGCTCAATGTGCTTGGCCTTTTCAAAGTTTTGGAAGTACTCCGAGTAGCAGGAAAAGCAGGCCATCTGCGGGATGTCAGTCGTGCATTGCCGGTAGCGCTGACGCTGCGCTCACATGCCGGTGCAGAACGTCGCCGAGATTCTCGCGCTCTGCGCTCTGCACACAGAGCTCCAGCTCGCGCAGAAACGCCATGTTGGCGCCGACGATCTCGCCGATGTTGCCAAAGAGACGCTGCGCTTCGTAGCGCGGCAGCACTGCCGTGTCGACGTCGAGCGCGAGAGCGCGCAACGGCCGGGCGTAGCGCTGTGGGGCAAGCGGCATCAGTCCTGACTCGCAGCATGCGGCCACTGTCGTCAGCGCGCGACGCATACAGCCCGGCGACTCACAGTTGCGAGCGCCTCTATCCTGCGCACATAGCTCCGCTCCGTGTCCAGCAGCTCCTGCAGCCGGCCCTCGAACTTGGCCCGCTCCTTCTCTGAGTCGGCCCCACTCGGTGCTGCGGGACCCGCAGCTGAGGCATGAGTTGGCGGCGGCCGGCTCGACGAGGCTTCGCCCCAGCCAAAGCGCGGCGCATGCGTCTCGAACGTGTCAAGCGCGCCGGACTGGTCGAGCACCAGGCTGCCGAGATGTGCGAGGATGGCAGAGGCTGTCGGGTCCGGTCAGGTCTGTGTGCTGCTTCACCAGCAGAGCCACTCACAGGCGTTGCCGCTGCTGCCCATCAATGGCGTGTCCTCTGCCTCGCCCCGCTCGAGCACCACGTCGTAGTGCTCCGCACACGCCGGCGCCTCGCACAAGTCCCAGTCGAAGCGGCACGGCGCCTCCTCGGCGGCCGCCTGCCCGGCATCGTCCCCGCTGATCGAGAAGCGCGCCGGCGAGGAGCGTGCGCCAGGCGTGCCAATGCCGGCAAACGGCCGCGGGCTGCTCGCGCCGAAGACTGCGCTGCCGGGCGCCGCACAGGGCGATGGCGAGGGCCGCGTCGGCGAGCGCGGGCGCAGCGACGGCAGCTTGAAGGGCGAGAGAGGCCGCGACATGGGCCTCAAGGGCGCGAGCGGATGTGAGAGCGGGCCAGCACCGTCAATGAGGGCAAAGCTACACAGAAAAGGGTGGCAGACGTCGACGATGGTGGAGGTCGTGCGGGCAGAGCGGCGCCGCGGCGCGGGGCAGCCGTGAGCGTGTTGCTCTCGGTCCCTGACCTGACGCGTCGCTCGCCGCACGCGCGCGCGCCTGTGAGCAGAGTCACGTGCGCTGGTAACCCTTTAGCAGTGGGCACAAATTAACAGGGTGCAGCCCAGCACCACTGTCAGGAGTAGCATAGCAATCAAGCCACAGATTGGGCATTTGAGATCCAGCACCCTTTGCAGCACCAGCCAAGGCTGCATGTACACTGTGGGAGACACACGGGGTCTGGACTAGTAGTGAAAGCCCATCAGGCCCAATTGGAGGGCTGTCTTGCATCCCTGAGAGGATTTCTTGAAACATATGTCTGTTACCACAGTGCCAACAAAGCCTGCAGCTTCACCACTCCTTTTCCTGTCCTTCACTGCCTCGGCCTCTCAACACAGAACCTGTAGTCAAAATCTGCTTTTCCCCTGTCCAGCAATGCATCATTCTTATTCTACAAGACGTTGCCAGAGGACCGCTTACGTCAGCCATAGCTGCGTGCGCGGCGCGGCGCCGGCGCTCCTTGATCTCCCGCTTCCACTGCACCCCATCAACCGCCTGCCTGCTTCGCACAGCTGCAACTCTTAGCACACTCGGCTTGCGACGCAAAGCTCTTCAGCCACAAGCACGTCGATCTCCGGAGTTCTGACCGTCGCACCTTTCGTTCTTCCCGCCCCATCTTCCGCGGTTCCCTCGCCCTTGGCGTTCTTTCGTCATGAACATCCGGCCGGCGACCCTCGCCGACCAGCTCGGCATGCAGAACTGCAACCTGCACAACCTGCCCGAGAACTACACGATGCGCTACTACCTCTACCACGCGCTGACGTGGCCGCAGCTGAGCTTCGTGGCGACGGACGAGAAGGGGCGGGTGGTCGGGTACATCCTGGGCAAGATGTGAGTTGTGCTGTGCTTGCGAATCTCTGGCGAGCGGACGCCGCAGCCTCGCGCTGCAGCTTCAGCGAAGCGAGACGCACCGCACGGGACTGCCAGCTGACCGCTTGTGCGCCAGGGAGGAGGAGCCGTCCGACGGTGTGCCGCATGGGCATGTCACGTCGATCTCCGTGCTGCGCTCCTACCGGCGGCTCGGCCTGGCGAAGAAGCTCATGACGCAGTCGCAAGAGGCGATGCGCGACGTCTTCCAAGCGCGCTACGTGTCGCTGCATGTGCGGCAGACGAACCGCGCGGCCATCGGCCTGTACCGCGACACGCTCGGCTTCGAGGTGCACGAGGTGGAGAAGGGCTACTGTGAGTGCCGCGCTGATGTTCGCGTGGACGCTGGCTGACGCCGGACTGCGGCACACAGACGCCGACGGCGAGGACGCGCTGGGCATGCGCCTGACATTAAGTTGAAATGGCACCTTGAAACGAGATCTGCAGAGGATGAGCTGGCGGGAAACTAGGGCGGTATGAGAGTAGGAGCAAGTCTGATCCATGCAGGCTGCTGCAGATCTCGGCTGCTCGGTGCTGGAGCGAACCCAGCTACTGGCGTGTGTCAGCCTGCGTGAGCATAGCTTATAGAGCGTGCCGGCTGATCGAGCTGCGCTGCTCAAGCCGGTCCCGTTGCCGTAGCCGAGCATGACGCCAGGCGGGTTGCGGTCTCGGCTGCCCGCTGCTGCTCGTATGCCCGGCAATGTTCAGCCTCGCACGCCGCCCAGCGATGCGCACGCTGCAGCGCCAGCGCCTGCCGCATGCCTGCGGCGGCGTGCGAGAGGCTTGCTGCAGGCCCTTGTCATAAGACTTGTTGTCGCCTTCGGACCGGCATTCTGATTCTCATGCTTCGTCTTGAGAACTGATGGCTTGCAGAGGATCCGAGGCGAGGCACGCGGAAGGAAGCGACGGCGCGCCGAGGCGAGGCACACGCGCGGCGCGCACGGCCCGCGTGCGGCGGCTGCCTGCTGCGTCCTGGCGCGCCGCGCTCTGCCTTCCGACCATCACCATCCTCGCACCTCGCCCGCTGTCCACTCCTCAATACCCGCAGCCTGCCCGTCTCACAAGCTAGCGCGAGCCACAGCATCACCGCGTCACTCACCGTCACCGTCGACCTCGAGCTGCGGGTCTAGCTTCTCGACGCCGCAAACCGGCATCTGCAAGCCCAAGCCTGGCCATCTCCGCCACGGACTGATCTCACCTCGAGCCACACACCAGCCGCGCGAGCCGCGCATTGCTCTGTCAAACCGGTCCTCATGTCCGCCAATGCGAAGGCCTTGAAAGCGCTGGGAGAGGATGCGTGGAAGAATCGGGCAGACAAAGTGGTGCGTCGTGTACGCGCAAGCTAGCGGCCGCGCAGCGCTGCCGTGGCCGGGCAGAGGGCGCTGCGTCCCGCTCACACTCTGCGGACTCAGAACGCAGAGCTCTTCGCCCTCACCTACGGATCTCTCGTCGCCCAGCTGCTCAAGGACTATGAGGACGTCGCTGCGGTCAACCGGCAGCTCGACCTCATGTGCGTCTCCCCTCGCTCGCCCGCTGCGAGCCGCTGCTGCTGACACGCGTCCTTGCTGCACACGAAGGGGCTACAACATCGGCACCCGCCTGATCGAGGACTTTCTGGCCCGGAGCGGCGTGCCGCGCTGCAATGGATTTCTCGAGACGGCTGAGGTCATCGCCAAGGTAAGTAGAGGTCCTTTAGAGGTGCTCAGTCGCGTGTGTCTTGCGCACGTTGCCTTCTCGGTCGCGCGCAAGATTGAGTACTGATCCGCAGCGACCCAGGTGGGCTTCAAGCTGTTCCTCAACATCGTTCCCAACGTGGTCACGGTGTCGGCCCCGGCTGCAGGAGCGTCCGGCGCAGGCTCGGGCACGGCTGTGCATGAGGTTGCGTTGATACTGGAGGACAATCCGCTGGCTCTCTTCGTCGAGCTGCCCGAGGACGAGCTCGACGACCCAGGCAGGAGCGGGGGGATGCGGGATCTGTGGTGGAGCAACGTCTTGTGCGGCGTGCTGCGCGGGGCGCTCGAGATGGTGAGTCCTACGCGACGCCGCATGTGGGCCGCCTTTCACCTGGCGCTGCTTTGCACTGACGCGCGGCCATCTTGGTCACGCAGGTCCAGATGCAGACGCAGGTCTACTTTGTGTCTGACACGGTGCGCGGCGACGAGACCACCGAGCTGCGCATCAAGCTTGTGCGCTACCTCGAGGAGCAGGCCCCTCTCGACGATGACTAGTGGCACGCAATGCCGACCCTATTACGCAAATGTGTCTGATCGCCGCAAAGGGAGCGCGCTACCGCACAGCGCCTTCACCGCCGTCGCCCGCGCATTGAGGCTGTACCCCTTGGACATGCGGCTCTTGCCACACGTGACGAGCCCGCATGCACCTTCAGCATCGAGTGAGCAGGCCGGCGCTAGGAGCGGGGCGGGAAAGGCGCAAGCGCAGAGCAAGCACACAGTTGCTGCCGGGGCGGACAGCCTGCCCCAATCAGCGGGTGGCGGAGCATGCGGTGCGATGCGTCACGGCTGTCATTGCAGAGAGATGCAGGCTGCGTTGCGGTACTGAGGCGCCTCAGCGCGGCGCCTGGTAGTGATAGCTGTCCGGCTGCACACGGTCGCCCTCTCCTGGGGCGCCCTGAGCCAGATGGTGCCCGACGGCCGACGAGCCGGCCTGCGTGCTCTGCTGGTAGGCGGCCGCGAAAGCTGCAGCCTCGGCAGCCACGTGCACTGGCAGGCCCACCTCGCCGTTGTGGCGCGAGGTGTAGGCAAGCGGATTGGCCGTGTGCGGCGCATCGGAGGTGCCGAAGAGCGAGTGGAAGATGCCGTCGACGTCGAAGGCGGCGCCGTGGGCCGCAGGAGCCTCGGAGAGCGCGTTCATGGAAGACGCGTGGAGTCCCTGGTCCGCAGTCGCCGCGTCTGCGTCGGGACCTGCAGCTGAAGGTCGGTAGGAAGAGGTGCGTGCGTGGCTGGAGACGCCGGCGAGGAGCTCGAGGGGCGCCGACCTGTGGACACGGCCCGGTCCGAAGCCCGCGGCAGCGGCTGGCACGTGTGGCAGCCTGCCGATGCCGTGCGGGCCCTCGTTCTGGAGCTGCGCCAGCACTGTGCGTGCGGGCTGAGAGCACAGAGACAGCGCGACGAGGAGGCGCCTGCTCAGAGCGATGGTCTCGGCAACGTGCGCCCGTTCCGCCGGCGCGTCGGGCCCAAGCTCGACGATGTGCAGGTCCACTGTCAAGCCACAGCGGTCAGTCGGTGGACGACGACGCTCAATCTTAGCAGACGCACTTTGTTCAAGATGATGCTGAAGGAGAAAGAGCGCGTTGACGCTCGCATGCGTCCAGAACCACAAACGCGCTGCCACCTCCTGGAGTGCGCAAAGGGCGGTGAGCGATCTGCACTTGTGGAGGACATGCGGAAGACGCTCACTCGCTTGCCCTTGAACAGCGACTCTAGGCCCTCGACGTCGGCCAGTGCAGCTGCCTTGAGGATGCCGGGAGCATTACTCTCGAGGTGGCGATGGAAGCGGCTGAGGAGGCGCATGGCTGCCGAATAGCACACGTCGCGCGCATCGCGCCGCCCGCCCTCTGCCCAGCTGTCGAGATAGTATGGGCTGGGCCGCTGTCAGCATCGCTCGACGCTGCTATCGAGGCGCGGCAGGCTCACCGGAAGAGGTTGAGTTCGATGACTGCGGGAGGTAAGGCGGCGTCAGAAGAGTCAGGCTGGGCAGGCGGTTGCTGCTCACGGTCCAGCAGGGTGTTCAGCGACCTGGCAGACATGCCTTCTGTTGTTTGCAGCATGCTGACCTCCTCGGACTGCGCACAGGGGCTTGTCAACTCGTGCATGCTTGGCGCTGGCGCTTGTGCCGTGCACGCACCAGAGTGTCCGGGAGCGATGCCCGGAAGGACCTGAGCTGTCCAAAGATGCGATCGGTCTCGACACCTGCGTCGGCCGCCGTCATCGAGTCGCGGCACATGGCTCGCTGGCTGAAGCAGGCTGCGCGCAGGCGGGACTGCAGAGCAGACATGAGCTTTCGGCCTGAGAAGCATGGCAGCTTTGGCGCTTCGCACCTTATTCTCAATCGAGATGAGCTCGCCGTGCTCCTGCACGAGATCGTGCCACGGCGACGAGCCAGGCTCGCCGAAGAGATAGCTGCGCAAGACCAGTAAGCCAGCAGCAGCCAGGCAGGGTTCACCAGGGTGACACACGGATGCTTGATCGGCTCTTCGCGCAGCAGCACGCGGCTTCCCAGCCACTGTCCGTTTTGCCTGCGGCTCAGGAGGGTGAGGACACGAACCGGGACTAGGTTGCCGATGAGGCTCACCAGGTCCAGATGCATATTTGCGTGAACTGAGAAGGCGCATGAGCGGCTGCGCGGAGTCTCTCGGCTCGAAGCACTCACGAAGGCGATGCGCATTGAGGCCTCGGCGTGCGGCGTGTCGATGGTCGGCTCCCGATCCTGCGCAGTTCAGAGCTTGAGCCGTGCATGCGGCCAGTGAGAGGCTTTGGCGACTGACCAGGCCGAGGGCATACATCATGTGCGTGACCGCCGCTAGCTGCAGCCCAATGCCACCCCAGTGCACGCCGCAGCTCGTGATGAGGCCGAAGAGCTGGAGCATAGAGATCTGCAGCGCCTCGAAGCTGGGTAGATCCAACGGAAGCGTCGCGTCGATAGCAGCCTGCGCGGCTTCGAAGAAGAAGACTGAAGTGGCGGGAGGAGCATGAGCGCCGAGCAGAGGCTGATTGGCCATCCAACACACCGTGGCGCGAGGTGCTATCTGCCCCACGAGGCAGACCTGCCAGCGCGACGCTGCGCTCCGGCACAAACAGAACAGCACTGAGGGGAGGGTCAGCTTGCTGCGGATACCGGGAACTGCTCGGAGTCTCACATTCCGACGATGGCCAGAGCCAGGGCCGTGTCGCGCAAGGCCTGGTCCACGTCCTCGCGGGACATGCGGTGCAGCACGCTTGGCTGGCCAGCGTGGCTATCGTCCTGTAGCGACCGGCGCAGCTCCTCGATGCGCGGCAGGCGCACATGCCACCAGTCGACGACACTCAGCTCGAAGATGCACCACGCAAAGTTCTCGAGGAAGTACTGGGCCAGCTTGCGCAGCGACTCGGGCAGCGGCAGCAGAGTCAGACTCTGCTCGAGTACATGCAGACGGTCTGGCGGCGACGCTGAGAGCGCGAAGAGCGACTGAGGCCCCGCGTCCCGCGCCTGCGACCCGGCCTGGCTGCTCAGCCCTAGATGCGACACAATGAGGGACAGCTGGCCCTCGATGTGGTCGAGCCGTGAGAGCACGGCGGGAGCAGCGTGTAGCGCATCACGCCCGCTCGTCGCCCTGTTCGGGAGTCAGAACTGGCTGCGGCAGAAGGCAAGAGGGCCACTCACTGCGGACGGGTGCCACCCTCCCACTCGCACAGCTCTGCCTCGCCGCGGTCCTTGCATGCTCCGCACTGCGAGCCCCGCCAGGGATCAGCGTGCAGTGGCGGCACAGCACAGGCTCTGAGCTCACCGGCCAGCCGCGGTCGCACTTCAGCTTCCGTCGCCTGCGAGCGGGTGAGTGTCAGGCAGCAAGCCCCCAAGCGCGGCTGCAGATGCGAGCCCGTACCGGCAGGACTGGCAGGCTGAGGGGCGCGCAGGTCAGCAGCCCGGGAAGCGACAGCACTGACAGAGCAGCACGTACAGACAGCCTTCTTCTTCTTCTTGGCGCGGCCCGCGTCGGCGTCGGCGTCGCTCCGGCCGTGCTGGTGAGCGAGCGCCTCGATGGCCATGCTGTGTGCCGCATCCACGCCGTACATGGAAGGGCCGGCATCGTGCGACGCAGCGCCGTAGGGCTGCGGCGGCTGCGGCGGCTGTGGCGATGCTGAGCCGCTGGCACGCGCAGCGTCTGGCGAGCGCAGCCGCTTCATCAGGCCAGAGGTATGCGGCAAAGAGGAGGGAGCGAGGGTTGGAAGATGAGGTTGGGAATGCGGGGAAGGCAAGGTGTGGAGGAGAGGACGACAGCCGGCGGAGGCCGCGGAGATGCCTTGGTGCGGCGCGCGGCGCGCGGCGAGGCGCGCGCACAGGCCCCCTCGCGGCGCGCGCCCCCAACGGCTGCGCTTCTCTCGCTCCTGCCACCACATCCCTCTCCGCCTCTACATCCACCCGCCGTCACGCCTGCGTGTGCGTCTGACATTGATGACAGCCACACCTGGCGTGTTCTGCTAGGCGTACTTCCAGAGCGCTGCTCGCCGCCGCCCACACCGCACCGGCCGGATCGCCTGCTGCGTTTCGCTCTCTCCGCTCCCCGTCTTCGACTGAACGCCAGGCCAAGCCGTATTGCACAGCTTCACGCGATCTCGCCATTGTAGCTTGCACGTTCGGAGACGACCTACCAGCTCTGCCCAGCGCCGCACCTCGTCCGGACTGATCGTCACCTGGCTTTCCCATGGCCCAGGCCAGCTCCTCTGCTGGCGGCTCTGCGAGCGCCCGCCCCTCTGAGGGCGCTGCCGGCATGCCACGGGCCAACGCCCTTCGCGCCTTCTACGGCCTCGCCGAGGAAAGCGACGGACCTGCCAAGGCCGCGGCGCCTGTCGGCGCGCCGCCGTCGCCGAAGCCGGACACACCAGCGTCTGCCACCTCACCAGACTCGTCTGCCTTTGCCTTGCCAGAAGCGCTCGCGGCCGTCCTCAGTGACGCAGGCTCGCCAGAGACGGGCTCCCGCGAGCATGCAGCGGCCCTGATGCACGTGCAAGCCTCGCTGCTGCGCGAGATGAGAGAGCTCGACGGCGCGCGACAGAGCCTCGTGTACAACCATCACTGGCAGCTCGTCAAGGGCGGCGAGACGCTCCGGACCGTGAGTACGACCTCGGCTTCTGGGCGCCGTCATTCGCACTACACTGGGCCTGCGAGCAGCCCTCTGCGGCCAGACACACTCCGCAGTCGCATGCTGACTCTGACTGCCTCCCTGACAACAGATGAAGGCGCGTGCGGAGGACCTGACGCCTGCTCTGGATGCGCTGCAGGGCAGCTTGTCGCGCGCAGAGGCCCTCCGCAAGGAGCTTGCTGCGGCGCTGCCGGCGACTGGCTTCAGCGCCCCATCTCAATGAGATGATACCATGAGCTGTACAATCTGAGCGTGGTAGCCGCGACGCACCAAGAGCGCACTGCACTGTACTTGCAGGCAGCATCTTGCTCGCGCTCCGCTTCGGATCACGAAGCACGCACTCCGCAGCTGGTACAGCACTGCTGTGCGCCGCTACACGGCCAACGGTGCGCGAGCCAGGCTATGGCGAGGTGTGCCGCTCTTGCTGAGCACCAGGGAGCGCTTGGCGACCCAGGCACATCTGTAACACAAACCACCACCACCACGACAATGGTGCTCCAGTGGGAGGATGGCGATGTCGAAACGCTTTCAGCGGCACATTGGTCTGATCTGAGTGGTGAAGCCAGAAACCTCGCACGGCGAGGCAGAGACCCAGGCGACGTGTGGCGAGCACGAACAACGCGGCAGAGCGCCGTTTTCAGCGCGGCAGAAAATGAAGTGCGTGCGGCGAGCGAAACGCAGTCTCGCAGCAGCAATTACGGCACTCGCGCGCACCTCGCGTCGTCATTTTCACAGCGCGCGCCCGCCGCAAAGCGCAGACGAGGTACCGTTGTGCCGGAAGGGCGCCGGACGCTAAGCGTATGCAACACCGCCAGACAACGTATGTATACAAGCGCACAGACGGGCAGCATCGTTCAAGGAGGCCGTGTTGACCGTCCAGATCTCCTGCACGGCAGAGCGGGCCGCCGTGCGTGCGCTCTACTTCAGTCTCGCGTGCCCTCGTCAGACTCCGCAGCGTGCCGTGCATCAGACATGATGCATTGCGGTCTACCTCTTCGTCGCGAACTGCGCACTGACGTTCCTGGGCTGACCCTTGCGGGCAGAGATGGGTGAGGTCGGCCGCGACGTGCCGGAGGGTACCGACGGCCCCGGCGCAGCAGATGAGGCGCCGCCAGAGAGGTGCAGGCCGAAGAAGGACGATGAGGCGGGTGCGCTGGCGAGCTTGCTGCCCGATGACGAGGACGCAGGCGCAGTGGCTGAGCCCATGCCAAAGCGGCTGCCAGAGCCTGGAGGATGTGCAGACGCGCCGCTAGCTTTCCTGCGCGACGAACCTGCAGAGCCGACGCGCGATGCCGGCAGCGGCCCGCGCAGGGCGCCCGCCCCGCCAGGACTGCCGCCCAGCGACGCTCGTGCCATGCCTGGCACCAGCGAGCCGTCGGCCTCGAGCCCGCTGGCAAGCCCGCCTGCTCTGCGCGCCTGCTCGTGGCGCGCCTGCACCTTGCGGAAGTGCGTCAGCAGCTCGTTCCACTTGATGTCGTCGCGGCTGCCGAGCTTGCTGCGGGGTCCCGTGGAGGAGTTGCCAGAGCCGGCCGCAGCGCCGGACGGCAGCGAGCCGCCGCTGGCCCCGCTGCCGGAGCTGTTGCCGGCGCCGTACAGCGAGCGGGGCGCGGCAACGTGCAGGAAGCCCATGCTGCTGACGGCGTTGAGGCGGTTGCGCAGCGTCGCAAACGCAGAGCTCTGCGGCAGCAGCATCAGCAGGCCGTACATGCACTTGAAGAGGTACGGGTGGCGCTCGGGCTCCAGCAGCTGCAGCCGCAGCGCGGTGAAGATCGGCGACTCGAGCAGCTGCACCAGCTTGTCGATCTGGATGAGGAGCGCGACCGTGATCTCAAGCTCGGCAAAGATCTGCAGCAGATTGCTGGCGTGCTCGTACGCCTGTGCGAGCAGACAGAGGCTGAACGTGGCGACGGCGTTGTGGCACCAGCTGCGGTACAGGCTCGCGAAGAGCTGCTGCCCGTCGCGCGAGTCGAGGTTCTTGAGCCGCCGGCGGAAGTCGGCGAGCTCGGGCGACGTGATGAGGATCATGTTCATGTTCGTGACCATGACGCTGGCGAACTCGAGGTCCTCGTCGCGCTCGAGGATCTCGGCCAGCGTGCGGAAGATGCGCTCGGTGTGCAGCGAGGCGCAGAGCTGCCGCAGGATGAGGCTGCCGCGCGTCTCGAGCAGCCGGCGGTCCGTGCTGAAGAGGCTGACGAGGTTGACCATGAAGGAGCGGAAGTATGCGTCGTTGCGCTCCTCGGACGCGCTGCTGATCTGCGCCAGCAGGCGCAGGTCGGAGCGGATCACCTCCTCGCTGGGGTCCGAGAGCGTCTTGAGCAGCGCTGGGAACGTGCCGTCATCCATCGCCAGGATCTTGTGCGGCGCCTTCTGGTGCAGCATCAGCAGCCACTCGAGGGCAGCCACACGCGTCTCTTCGTGCTCGTCGATGAGCTGGAGCGTGAGCACGTTGACGGTCGCGTGCAGGTCCAGCGCATCGGCGTGCGGCTGCGACTGCGACGAGCCCGTCTCCTCGTCGGGTGCAGTCGCCGCGTCAGCTGCCTCTGATGCACCGTCCTTAGTCGGGAAGGGCCGCGGCGGTGCGCGCGGGGAGAGCTGCGGGGACATGGTCTGTGCCGCGCTGCCCGCGACACCGGACGTGTTCCTGCTCGACGCAGTATCGCCGGCGCTCGATGCGGTCTCGACCCGCTCGTGAGGCCTGGACGCCGTCGTGGTGGAAGAGCCTGATGCGCTCAGGGTTGAAGCGGGAGGCGCCGACGGCTGGCCTCGGCTCGTCGTGGCAGCCCGTGCGTCGCCGCCCTGCACAGATGCGGACGAGCGAGACGTCGGAGGCGGCACGCTGACCGGCAGCTCCTGGAGGACGCGGAACAGGTTCGTGTTAGTCGCATTTGCCGCGCTCTGGATGGCCGGGCTGTGGTGTGCGATCGACGGAAGGATGGCGGGAATGAGGCGGTGCGTGAACGGAACGACGACGTCCTGGACGACCAGCAGAAACTCCGACAGCCAATGCAGCGCCGTCGCCTGGATCTCTTCGTCTGCGCACGTGTGTCAGCATGCAGTACCGCAGGAAACGCAGCCTCGTAGGAGCTCACCCGGATAGCTGACGTGGTTCACCAGGATCTCGGTGATCGCCGCGTAGTCGACGCGCACCTCGAGGGCAGGCACCCACACATCTTCGTCTGCACCGGTGTCCTCTTCTGCCTCCTCGTGCTCGTCGACCACGGCCTCCTCCAGCTCTTCGAACGTGGCAGCTGCTGCGTCGCTTGCGGCACCTTCCGCAGACGTCTCCAGGGCAGAGCGTGTCTGCGCCGAGGGACCGCGTGATGAGGACGCCGGCGCGCTGCGCCTTTGCGGCCGTGCGGCGGCCTTGCACTCGCGCAGGAAGTCTGCCAGCACGTTGTGCGTCGCGATGCGCACGTCGGTGTTCGGGTCTGAGAGGTACTTGAGGAGCCCGTCGAGGAAGGCCGGGAGAAAGTGCACGAGCTCCAGGTCGGGGACCGAGTCCAGCACGGTGATCCAGCTGACGAGGTAGTTGCGCGTGAAGGGGCTGAGCACGTACATGCGCTCGGCGAGCAGCGGCACGAAGCGGGCAAGCGAGAAGACCTTGTTGCGCGCAAGGTCAACCTGCTCCGAGTCGGACGCAGCGGCAGCTTTCTCGCGCGCAACCTCCAGCTCTGCCTCGCCGCCGATGTTGCCGCTGCTCGCATCCTGGCGCGCGCGGATCAGGGCGATGTCCTGGTACGCGGAGACGTAGTGGGGCGCCGCCTCGCAGACAATGTCCTTCAGCAGGCGGTCCAGCAGCTCTGCACCGTTCTTGACGGAGAGCTCCGAGTCTGCAGCGAGCTGTGGGAGCATGCGTCAGCGGCGCGCTGCACGCACTGCGGCGTGCGGCTCACTGACCTTGGACAGGGCGTCGAAGATCTCGTTGAAGTACATGAGGATCTCGCCCTTGCACACCTTCGCAATGTTGTAGAACGACTCGCAGGCGAAGTAGCTGGACGGCGTGATCAGTCGCGGGCTCAGCAGCGAGCGAGTGTCACAGCCATGCACGGCTGCGCAGGCGCTGTTAGGCAGACCTGACTCACCGGATCTTGCTATCGGGGTCACTGAAGCACGCGAGCACCGGAGGAACGACCTGCTCCAGATAGGGCGCAATCTCCAAACCCAGTGCGATGCCGATGCCGGCGAGGCCGATGAGGCCACCGCTGCGCGCATGGTTGTTCTGCGGGCTGCTTGATGCGAGCAGGGCGCAGAGCTGCTGCACTATGAGGTTGATGCGGGCGCGATCTCCGCGGACCAGCGCCTCGCGGACCTGCCTTCAGACAGTGGCAAGAGGGTCAGATGGGTTCTACCGTGTGTGCTCGGACACAGCTCCGTACTTCTCGAGGTCCAGCGTGGCCGCCTTGCGGCGGTCGTACACGCGGTCCAGCAGGGCCTTTTGCAGTGCCGCGTCTGGAGCGATGCGTCAGCGGGATTCCTGTGTGCGTCATTGACGCTGCGCACCCATGATGCCAGGCACACAGCGTCAGCTGTGGCGGCAGCGAGAGCGTCGCGTACGGCGCTGCGATTGTCGGACAGCGCACAGCCTGACAGGTCGCTCTGGCGGCGGCGCTCTCTCTCTCTGTCTCTGCGCGTCTAGGCGCCCGCGGACTGCGGTGCTGGAGACCGCTGCTGTGCTCGGACCTCGGGCGTCGGCTGGAGGTGTGCGGCTAACGAAGTGTGACGGTAACGAAGCGGAGCAGCCCAGCTGGCACGGAGAAGCACGAGAAGCAGGTGGAGGCGGGTGGTGGAGAAGAGTGGTGCCGCACAGCCCGTCAAGTCGCGCGCAAGCACGGCCCCCGTCGGCGCGCGCCGCGGCGTGTGTACGCCGCACCCCGCACGCGCCTCCCCCTCGGTGCGCTCTCGACGCTGGCCCAGCGCTGCACCTGGCGCCGGCCATCTGTAGCAGCGTAACCAGCGGCTGGCTGTCTAGCGATACGGGCGACAGCTGCATCGCTTGCCGCTGCTCGCCCCGCAAGAGCAGCATATCTGCTGTGCCAGCTCAGGGTGCGGAGGAGGCGATGCCCGAGTCCCGCAGCCTGCGCCCGGCGAGCGTAGTGGGAGCAGAAAAATTGAGGCGCGCGGCAGATCCGCTGCCAGAAGCGAACCTGCCGTTCCACATGCCGCCGCTGGATGCCCTGCTGCAGTCTCCAATCGGTCCATTGAGCGCAGCATATTCAGCCGAACTCGTGCGGAAGAGTGTGGGGTGAGGGAGCGTGGCTGTGACGCTGCGGCTGGAAGAGGCCTAAGCAGAGGGCGCGACCGCTGCAGGAAGACACGAGTTTGCGCCGCGCGAGTCTGAGTGTTCGCGGCCCAAGGCAGCATGTCGCGCGCCTCTGCTGCAGCGAGCACGGCGCGCGCGTTGTCTTCCCGACCTCACAAGCCCACCTCTACGTCCCTCGCTCTTCGGTCCTCTCCTGGCTGCTGGTCTGTCGCTGCACGCGCTTCGACTCTCTCTGCGAGCTGCTGCACTCGCGAGTGCCCCTGCACGAGCGGCGACGTCTGCTGCTGTGCGCCTCGCCCGGCTGCAGCTGCGCTCCGCGCGTCGAGCCGACATGCTGGCCAGGTCCATGCCGGCGGCGGCCCCGGGCCCGTCCACGCCGCTCGCTCGCTCGCCGCGCGGGCTCAGCAGCGTCTCGGCGGCGGGCTCCGACTCGGCCACTGCGTCGCCCGTCCTGTCCGGGGCCGCCAGCAGCAGCAAGCTGCGCGACCACGGCATGCAGGGCCCTGCAGCCCGCCAGAGCGTCGGCCAGACGGCCTCGTCCGCTCAAGGCACGCCACGCCTGTCCGCCAAGCCTGGCAGCAGCTCTCGCAGTACCGAGCCCGCAGTCTCGTTACGCGAGCTCGAAGAGGCGCTGCAGCCCCGGGCTGCTACCGCTGCAGCCTCGCCAGCATCCGAGCCTGCGTCGCTGAGCGCCGCTAGAAAGCGAGCTGCCAGCCCTCTTGCGACTGGTGCCCTTGCTGCACTGCCGATCCCTTCGGCGCACCCATATACAGTGGCTGAAGGGCACGCAGCAGAGGCACAGCGCGTGCGCAGTGAGCTCGCAGAGCTGCTGGCGAATCCGCTCCTCTTCACGATGCCTGCGCCCTCCAAGCTGCGAAACATCGACCTGCCGGCCATCAATGGCGCACGTCAGGCTGCTGCACAGGTCGATGAACAGACAAGTGTGAGTCTGCCTCACAGCAGCGTGGTGCGTTGCCCTGCTCAGTTGCAGGCGCTGATCGACGCGCGCGGCCTACGTAGACTTCTCGCTTTGCCGAGCAGGCGCCAGCAAGCGTCGCCTCTACACCGCGAAGGACAGAAGCCTCGGCAGGATCGCCAAGTGCAGCGCGCCAGCGGCCAGAAGCCAGCAGCTCGGCGAGCGCGCAGCGCGACGACATGTCCGTGACATACGCGGGGAAGCTCTCGCTGCACATGCCTGGCCGCGTGCGCCAGCGCCCAGCCGGCCTGTACAACTCCGGTGAGTCAGTGCGAGCGAGATCGTGCAGCACACGTGTCCACTCGAGGCGACGATCACCTCACGCGCCTCTGCCCCGCGGCCGCTGACGTGCTCGGTCAACAGGCAACACCTGCTACATGAACTCGGTGCTGCAGTCTCTGCTTCACCTGCCGCCGCTCGCCTACGCGCTGCTGGAACGGAGCACGCGCGAACTCATCGGCGAGTTCGGCGGAACAACAAGCGGTGGCTTCAATCCGACGGAGGCCATGCGCGATCTGGCCGAGCGAGTGCTCTGTGGCTCGAATGTCGTGCAGCCAACAGTCTTCCAGAGCAAACTCAAAAGTAAGTGCTTGAGCGCGTTCGGATCCCCGCGCCACTCTGCTTAACCCGTCCCTTCCGTCGTGTCAGCCTATGCCCGCACGCTTCGCAAGGGACACCAGGAGGACGCGCACGAGTTCCTTGTTCTCCTGCTCGAGGCCATGCAGCAGCAATGCTTCGCCCGCGCAGACAGCCGCATGTGCGTCTGCTTTGACAGGAGAGACGTCGCAAGCCATTCGAGCTGACCCTCTTGCGAGCAGTGATGCCAACCATGCGCTCCGTCGCTCGACCCTCGTCCAGCGCGTGTTCAGCGGCCGTCTGCGCAGCCGTGTCTCATGCCCCGCCTGTCGGCACAACTCCGATACGTTCGACCCATGCCTGGACCTGTCGCTGGACATCAGACACGCGAAGAGCGTCAACGAGGCACTCGACGTCTTTACGAAGGCCGAGGAGCTGTCTGGGTCTGGGCGCGACCGCTACCGCTGCGAAGGGTCAGTCGTGCGGCCCACATGCCCCACAGCGCTCGCTCATGCTTTGCCTGCGCAGCTGCCGCAAGAGAGTCAACGCTTCAAAGCGCTTCACGATTGACACGCCGCCGCTCGTCCTGACGGTCCATCTCAAGCGCTTCACGCTCACGGGCAGCAAGCTGACGCGCGCGATCAAGTACCCGTACACGCTGCAACTAGGCGCGCGGCACCTCTCCGAGGGCGTCGACCCGGTCACCTACACGCTGCACGCCGTGATCCATCACCACGGCGGCGGCCCGAACAGCGGGCACTATGTGGCCAACGTCAAGGCTGGGCGCGGGCCGGGCTGGCTGTCGGCAAACGACTCAACGGTCTCACAGGCTCACAACGGCAAGACGTCTGGCGAGGACAAGTCGTGCTATGTCCTCTTCTACGTGATGGACGCAGCCTCGTCCTCTCGGTCCGGAGCACTACTGCCGCGCCAGCTGGGCGGCCATCTGTCCCCGCCGACGCACAACACGCCTGCGTCCAAGGGCAGCACCAGCGACGGCAAGGGGCTATCTTCGCAGACGTCCAGCATCAGTCCTGGGTCATCGATGGCCGGCCCCATGCGCCCTGCTCAGCGCAAGCGCCGTCGGCTTGAGCTCCACGATGATGAGGACGAGGGAGAGCCGCTGCCCGACGCGCAGTTCGTCTCTCCGGCTGCTTCAAGCACTGTCCGGCCGCCCAATGGGACATACGGGTCAAAGGGCAAGCCTGCTGGGGCAGTGCTCAGCACAGTGCTGGGCAGCGCTACGAACCGCACCGCCATTCCACCAGGCACGTTCTTCGGCGCCGCAGCCAGCAAGAAGCGCGGTGCAGCGCCTGCCGATGCGTACGGCGAGCCCGACGCGGATCACGAGCCGCACTACGAGTCGCTAACGGGCGCACGCTCCTTCGCGCCTGCCGGTGCTCAGGTGCCCAAGCATTCCTCCCGGCACGCCAGCTCGAACGGGAGCCTCAGCATCAAGAGAAACGGCCTCAGCGCCGGCTTGGCCTCCATCAACGGGCCGTCGCCGCAGCGCAAGAAGCTCAAGGAGAAGATGAAGGGCCGCGGCGTGTGAGGAGCGCCGCACGGATCTGTCTGCCACATACGTTCCGCCTGCACTGCGACGCTAATCGACACCTGCTTCCGTCACTCTCGTCCATTGTGTCGCCATGCATCACATGCGCGCCTCGCGCGGGCTGGCAGAGGATGCGCCGTACCACCGTTGCAGCACCTCGGCCAGATGCTTAGCTGTGGACGAGCGCCGAGTGCCGCGTTAGCGAGTGCGGCAGCGAGCGAAGCAGGCACAAGCCCACCTGCCATCACAGACTCACCAAGCATCTCAGGGTGCTCTTGCGCGATGAGGTGACCGGCCTTCAGCTCGGCGGCGCTGTGTCCTGCGCCCCAGCTCGCGATCTCGCGCAGCTGGATCTCTCGCTGCTCAGCGTTGCCGAGGTTGCTCTCCGTCATGACGACGGTGTGGATCTTGGTCGCGTGCTTGCGCTCGCGCCCCGCGGCACGCCCGATGGCGCCGCTCCAGGAGTTGGCAAACGCTGCGGCCTCGCGGAACTTGGACATGGCGAGCGTGACCTCGGTCCCGTTCGGCGAGGACGGCAGCGGCACCAGGTTGTGCTGGACGTGCAGCTCGAGGATGCGCGGGTCCCACGCTTTCAGAGTGCGGTCAGCGCAGTCTGGGCCATCACGCCAGGGGCGACTCACCCTGGAAGTACGGCTTGGACTTGAGATACTCTGTCGCTGCCTCGCTGGAGTACGCAGTTGCGTCAGACGCCTGTGCGTCGCAGCGAGAGGCACACTGGACGCACCGTGAAGCGAACACGTCCTTGCGCGCAATCGCTGCACGCGCCATCTCAGTCTGAGATGGAGAGAGGAGCTTGGCAGCTGACGTTGGGAAGTCAACGGCAAGTCGAAAGAGCCAGGCGCTCTTTACACACCAATCTCAGGCGCCGGGATCACGGCGTCGACCAGCACGATGCCGTCCAGCAGGTCTGAGTAAGCAGTGCCAGCACGCAGGAAGCCTGCTCCGCCTGAGGGGTCCAAGTCAGCCGTTGTTGCGAGGGCTCAGAACCGAGTAGCGCACTGAAGCTATGGCCGACGCCAACGAGACGATGCGACTTGGCGGTAGACGACGGCGCTTGCAGGAAGGCAGGCGCCTCAGCGCCGGGTTGCGGCAGATGGCGGATGAGCGTGTTGATGTCTCGAGCGTGGTCGTCCCACGAGCCTGGCGGAATGGTCAGCAAGGCGTTTGAGCCGTGCAGTGGGAGGCTGAGCACTGACTGGCCATGCCCAGGCGTGGCGCGTTGAGCACGCCCGCGAAGCCGGAGTCGCAGCAGTCCATCGACCACATCTCGGCGATGGGCACGGTCGACACCTCCGCCAGCGCGGCGAGCGTGGGCTCGAAGATCTTGCGCAGCTAGTCAGCCCTACCGCCAGTATCAAGGTACGGCGCCCTGACGCACCTCTTTGTGGAAGCCGTTGGCGTGTGAGCAGACTACGACCACGCCATCCTGCGGCGTCACATCGCGCTTCCACCTCTGCACGACGCCCCACAGCGCCGAGTTCGTCTGGCCTTTTGCGAGCTGCGCTGCGCGCTCGCCGGCCGCTTCCTGAGAGGCGGGCGGCACGAACTCGCTGACATGCCATTGCGAGCAGGCCTCGTCCCACTCGGCAAAGTCAAGGGCACGCTGGGCGCGCTCGTCCTCGACGACCTGGCGGTGAGGCAGGGGCCGGCCAGTTGCTGCCAGGCAGGCGGGGTGCGAGCGCGGAAAGGCAGCGGCGAAGAGGTGCGTCGACAGCGTCCACTCGCCGCAGCGGCGCGGCGGCGGCAAGGCCGGCGCAGACGCTGCCGCGGCGGTGAGCGGGGAAGGGAGACACGGCAGCAAGGGGTACGGCCCTGTGCGAGGGATGATGTTGCCGATGCCAGGGCCCTTGGCTGCTGCGCGTTGCATGATGCAGTTTGGCGGTATGTGCAGGCTTGGGTTCAAGGATCAAGACTAGCACTCCAGACCGGGCCGCTCGCTGGAGAGCTTGCGTGCAGCGATGATGGTAGTGGGAGAAACGAGCGCACGAAGGCGCGAGAGCCGCAAAGAGATGAGCTTGGGGCTGCGGAGAGCGCTGGCAGCTGCTGGCGGCTGGAGGGCGTAGCCGGTCTGCACGTAAGGCTGATGACAGAAGCACGATCCGAAGCGGTCCGGCGTAAGAAGTGCGGGAGCGGCCCTGAGGCGAGTGATAGTGGAGGAGAGCGAAGGTGAGAGGAGAGTGAGAGCACGGCGCCCCGCGAGTCTCCCCGCACTCTTTCTGACCGGGCAGCGCCGTTGCCGGCCCGAGCGCCGCGCCGATGCCGCCGCGCCGTGCGCATCCATCCGCCTCTGCTCGCGAGTCTGGCAGCAGCACGATGGCCGCTCCCAGGGCGCCGCAGTCGGGCCTTGCAGCCAAGATGAGCAGCCCGCTTCGTCGTCGAGAGCAGCTCGTCGGGGGCGGCATCGTCCGGGCCGTCCCAGCGCGGGCTGCGTGAATGACCGGCCCGTGGAGCGGCCCCTGAGGTAGTTTGCGAGCGCTCATCGGAGCGCCGCCCGGCTCTAGATAGCCTGCGCGCTGCCAGCGAGCCGCATCCTTCACGCAGAGGTGCTCAAGCCGCAGCCGTCCCGAGCAGTACCGCCTCGCTGCTCTGGCGAAGTAAGTCTCATCAGGCACAGCAGGGAGGTCGCTGCAGATGTGTCGGCCGCTTTCACCTCCACAACCAGCCAGCATGCGTTGCTATGCCGCGCCTCAGGACCGAGCTTCGGCTCCTGCTGGGCTTCACAGCACAGAGAGCACAGCACAGTGGGTCAGTGCTCCATATTGCCCTTGTGTGCTGGCCCAGCAACGAGTCCCCAGCGCCGCTCGAGGAGACTGGCACTGCCAAGCGCTTAGCAGCGTGAGGGGTCTCGGCGCCGCGCGCCTCCGCCGGTCGGAGCCGGCGCGTTTCGCGAGCACGACGGCTAAAACCGGCCTGCGGTTGCGCAGCGACGCTTGCCCCTCCACCCCATCACCCACCGCGCAACAGTCATGGCCGTACCCGCCGCCTCAGCATCGCCAGCGGTTGCGATCGTGCAGCTCCTCGATGGCGCGGCCGCCGCCGAGGACAGCGCTGCAACCCCTGCCTTTGCCGACCCGGCCGACATTCCCATGCTGCGCCACGCCCGCCTGGCGCCGGCGCGCCTGGAGCAGCTCCTCGCCGCCGCGGGCCGCGAGCGCGACGACCCGCCGCCGCCGCCGCGGCCCGACGAGTGCTGCGGCAGCTCCTGCTCGCCCTGCGTCAAGCAGCTCTGGAGCGAGGAGCTGCGCGCGTGGAAGGAGCGCTGGGGCGTCGGCGCGGCGGCTGCGGCGCGCCGCGCGGCCAAGGCTGAGGCACGTCTGGCTGTCGGCGTGGCGAAGGCAGGCAAAGCGGGCGTGCAGCGAACGCAGGAACCGTCCGAGACAGGCACCATGCCGGGTGCCTTCGACTGGTGATGGGGACCGCAGCGCATCAGCCTGGCTTTGCAGAAGCCAGGCAGGAGAGCTTTGCTGCAACACAAGGTGCCATCTCGGCAACCTACGCCTCTCAGCCACATCGGCAGGCTTGCCAATGGCCCGCAAGCTCCATCGCCGACACCTGACAGCCGACACCCGGCGAAATGGGAAGCGCGCATCGCTTCGTGGCACGGCCTCTGAGCCATCGCACCTGATCGCCCACGGCGAAGGCGACTAGCATCTGCGCAACACACCAAGCAGCAGACAGCGTGTCCCGCTCGCGTCTCTCCGCCCGCGCATGGCTCCAATGCAGACGCTTCTGCACCGCATCCGCGAATACGCATGTCTCGTCCCGCTCGACACCATGCGTCAGCCGGGCTCCCCACCTGGCCTCGGCAGCCGAACCAAGAGCGGCTTACAGCGAGCGCCGGCCGCGCACTAGGTCTAGGGAATGATATTCATGCTGTATCCACCGTTGCTCTGTGCTTGTGCTGTGACATCTACTTCTTGGCCGCGGCCATAAGCTTGCGCGTCCAGACCTGTGCGGGTGAGAGGCGCTGTCGTCAGCACGCCGCACACGCTCGGCGTCGCCGGGCCGCACGCACCTCAAAGTAGTCGCGGAAGTAGAAGAGCAGCGCCTGCGCAAGCACTGCTTTTGTGATCTGCGCTTGCATGCCCTGCAGCGCGGTCCTGCGTCAGAACAGTGCTGTGGCCGGATCAGCGGCTGCACACGCACCTGGTACCAGCCCGAGATGCCCTTCTCCTTGGCGATCTTGGTGAGCACGTCGATGGCGCCCGTGTAGGGCGTGTTCTTCGCCTGCAGGCGGATCTTCGACAGGATGTACGGGAAGCTGCGTGTCTGCTGCGTCAGCGCTATGGCCAAAGCTCGCGACGCGGTCGCGCGACTCACGTCACGACCGTCGCCAGCGTCTTGCTGAGCGCGCCGATGGCGAAGCTCTTGGCGGGCGTCATCTTGCCGTCGGTCGACGCGGCCAGGATGATGTTCTTGACCCCTGCGCACGCGAGGCGAGTCAGCACACGCGACGCGGCATACGCCTACAAGCGGCACTCACGCTCGTACACGCCGTAGGTGATCGCCGGGTTTACCGTCAGTACCAGGCTGGGCTTCAGGCCGCGCCAGAGGCCCGTGATGCCGTCCTCCTTGAGGATGTCGCGCGCCACGCCGAGGAAGCTCTCGTCGTCGGTGACCTTGGCGCTGACCTTGCCGGCAAGGCCCTTCTGCTCGCCCTGCGCCGGCGTGCTCGGTCGCGCCTGGTCGGCCGCGCTGCTGGAGCCGCCCAGCTGCTGCCGTGTCGCGATGACGGCGACCGGGATCGTGAAGATCTGCGCCAGGCCGCCGGCCACGGCACCCAGCAGCAGCTCGACGGCCGTGCTCAGCTGCACCGCCGCGCCGACGGCAGCCGCAGCGGCGCCCGACTTGGTCAGGCGCGTGACGTACAAGGTGCGCACCACCGAGTACCAGTAGAAGTAGGCGAACTCTGCCGAGCAGGGCGTGAGCAGCGGCACCCGGCAGCGAGCAGCTAGCTCTGCGCCGCAGGCACTCACGCGTCGAGAAGGTGTTGACCATGCTAGCGCTGAAGCCGCGGTACAGGCCCGCGACGCCCTCCTTGGAGCGCGCAATCGTCACGACGGCCTCGAAGAGGCCCGAGTTCTTGCGCAGGCTCGCCTTGCCCTGCACATTGCCGAGCTTCTTCTGCGCTGCCTGGGCAGCCGCGCCGGAGCCTGAGTCGGCCTGGATGCGCGTCTTGACACTGGGCGTTGGTCGGCTCGTCAGCGGAAGTGACGGACCTGATGGCCAGGTGCGGCGACTTACGTGTCGAGCGGGTAGATGACGGCGTTGGAGAACACGCCTGGTGGAGGTGCCGCGAGTGAGCGACCGCACACGCCGTCATGGAGCCCATCTGCCTGCGCTGCGCGGCCTGCGCACGGCAGTCACTCACCTCCAAGCGCGCCGGCAAGGGCGTTGCCGAAGGGCGTCAGCGGCTCAGTCATGGCGGCGCGGAGGGAAGGGTGCGGGGTGCAGAGAGGCGGGGCGGAGCTGCAGATTCGGCAGAGCGGGGTGCGGCAGGGCGCGGCAGCAGGAAGCGCGAGAGACGGAGCGGAGACGGCGACGACGGTTGAGGCTGAGCAAAGGTGGATGGAGAGGGGAAGGAGGAAGGCAGCGAGCGCCAAGCCGCTCTGCGCACGCCTGCTATCGCCGCCGTCGGGCAAGAAGGCGGGCAGCGAGCGCACGGCGCGGGGCAGCAGCGGCGCGCGCGGCGAGCGCCTCGCGCCTGCGAGAGCCGCTTGGCCCGGTGCTGAAATCGGCGGTGCGGGGACGCCTTCTTGGCCGGCACACGGGCAGCGGTGACCGCATCGCGCCGGCGTCGGCGCGGCATGCCGCCGGGTGCCGGAGCCGGCGCCGCTCCACCAAGCCACGCCGCAGCACACCTCATCGCAGGACCGGCCAGGGCGAAGACGGCTCGCGAACATCAACAAGGGGCAGCAGAGACGTGGAGCGGCCTCCGACCACTACTCTAGCGCAACATGGACTTACAAGCATGCCGAGCGAACTGCGGGATTTACACGCTGTTGGCGCGATCATGCGACAGCGTCGCGTTGCGGAAGCCCTTACGTGTGGTCTTCTTCAGCGCTCGGCGCCTTTACGTCGGCCCAGAAGGGGGCTTAGACTGATCTTCTAGCTCAGAAGCACATTTTGACACCAAAGGAGCGAGTTCGAGATGCAACAGAAGCGACACGCTGGGGCGCGCGCTGGCCAGGTGGCAGATCGCTGGCGCGCCCACATGCTTTCCGAAGGCCCAGCACCAGCGTCCTTCCTTTGCATCACGCTGCCGCGAGCAGCTTGAGTGAGGGCTTCGAGTCGCGCATGCTGCCAGCTCAAGCTCACAAGTTCCGCAACAGAGACAGTGTGCGCGCCTGAGCTGCCCGGCCTCCGGGCACAGACAGGAGCATGCGGCACCGTGCGCTCCTTCGGATCGACTGCACAATCTCATTCAAGCGCGGAGATGCGCGCTCAGAGCAGAGGGAGGTGTTCTGGGTCTCAAGCATGCATGCTGAGAGATCGCCACGCCTGCAGTGCAACGGTGAGCCTCCGGCAGCGGACGCCTCCGCGGCTCGTGCGACGTCGCGTGCCTGTACCGGACCGCTGGAACGACAGCGACGCCGTCATGCGTCCAGCCGCAGACGCTCCTGACCCCTCGCCGTGCTGCGCAGAGGAGGCACTTCAAACAGGCGAGATTTGGCTGGGCGCGGAGGAAGCGCTCCTGTGCGTCGAAGTCCGGAGCGCCGCAGCAAAGCGGCACAGCCACGTCGAAGCCGCCCTGCAGATCGCTCGCAGCGACAGGCGGCCTGCCACGCCGCCACGCCCGCCTGCACCCTTGAGCAGCGCAGAACGCTGCACGCGAGCTGCATGCTGATGCGTGCATGCGCCGCGATGAAAGCGCTGATCGCACCGCTGCTGCGCCTGGGCTGTGCTGCGTGCTGCGGCTGCGGCTGCGGCTGCTGCAGCTGTGACGGCTCGGCGTCGCAGCGTCGTGTTGGGCATGCCGCCGGCCGGGCGCGGGCAGGCACCAGAGCAGCAGCAGAGAAGGCCAAGCGAGGCGCATGGGCGCAGGAGCGAACTCGCGGCGTGCGCTTTCGCTCCCCGCCGCATTTCAGGGTTCAGGTCGCGGTGCCGCGCGAGATCTGCCCAGCGTTCCTGCTCGCTCGGCGAGCTGCTGTCGCGCCTCGGGCGTGTGCTCGGTGCTGCTGATGCTGCCGAGAGCTTCCTCTGGGGTGCTGCCGCAGCTGCGATGTGTGTCTGGTGCCGCTCGGTGGCGTGGCATGCTTGCGCGCGTGCCTCGGCCGGCGCTTGCGAGACGCGCGACGACGCAGGAGGTCCGCCGCCCGCCGCGTCTGCGCTGGGCCGCACGGCAGCGGCACCCGATCTGCAGCGTGGATGTGTGATGCTCGCAAGGCGCGCGTTTGAGGCTGTCAAGCTCGAAACAGAGCGTGCTGACAGCCGCAGCACAGAGCGCAGAGCTCAAGTCAGCAGAGGTAGGGCCAAGAAGTCGAGCGTAGGCTCGATCCGCTGCAGCGCCGGAGCGGCGGCCCAGGCACGCCGCGGCAGCGCGCGTGGCGTGAGCACGGCGCGCGCAGCCGCAGAGGTGCAGCAGCGAACGAAAGTTAGCGTCGTGCCGCGGCCTGCCGCGCGCGCGCTGCCTGCGCCTGCCTGCCTCTGCCTGCACCGCTCGCTCCTGTTGTCCACCTCCTTCTGCTCCTCCTCCTCCCTCCTCTCGCAACACACCCACCCACCCTCCTTTGGCTCTCCTCCCCGCGCCGCCTGTTCTCACCCACCCCGCCGGCACCGCTGCACCGCCGAGCCCCGTGCGCCGCGCCATGGCTGCTGCCGCGGCCGACCTCGTGTCGCTCGTCTCGGCGACGGCGCAGACGACCGTCTACCCGTCCGACGATGCCGTGCTGAGCTTCCTGCAGCAGCGCTTCCGCGTCGAGCTGCCGTACACGCGCCTCGGCGCCAGCACGCTCGTCGTGCTCAACCCGCTGCGCACGCTCGCCAACCTCAGCGACGCCAGTGCGGATGCCTACCGCAAGGCCTACGCCGAGGCCGCGTGGGAGGCCGCCGGCGAGCAGCACCCCGACGAGAAGCTGCCGCCGCATCCGTACGAGTTCGCCGCGCGCGTCTACCATTACATGCGCCGCACGGCGCAGAGCCAGGCCATCGTCTTCAGCGGCGCCACCAACGCCGGCAAGACGTACACGTCCAAGCTCGTCACCGCGCAGCTGCTGCGCCTCGCGTCGCAGGGCTCGAAGCGCGAGGCCAAACTCGCAGAGCAGGTGCGCGCCTTTGACGTCCTGCTCAACGCCTTTGGCGCCGCCAAGACCAAGTCGAACGGCAACGCCTCGCGCCACGGCCGCTACCTCGAGCTGCACTACTCCGAGCAGGGCCGCCTCGCCGCCGCCAAGGTGCTCACGTTTGGCCTGGACAAGGACCGGCTCTGTGCGCCGCTCGCGCCCGAGGAGCGCACCTACCACGTCTTCTACCAGCTTCTGGCGGGTGCCACGCAGGATGAGCGCGAGGCGCTGCGCCTCGAGGATGTCACGTCGTACGCGCTGCTGGCCTCGTCGGGCTGCTACCGCCTCTCCGGCGGGCCGTCTTCCGACGACGGCATCGCAATGGACGAGCTGCGCGCGGCCATGCGCACGCTGGGCTTCAAGCCAAAGCACTTTGCCGCGATCTTTGCGCTCCTCTCTGCCATCCTCTGCCTCGGCAGCCTCACCTTTGCCGACCCAGAAGGCCACGACCAGCTCGCCGAGGCGGCGCACATCACGAGCGCGGGCGCACTCGAAGACGCTGCGGCGCTGCTTGGCGTGTCCGAGGACGACCTCGAGCAGTGCCTGACCACGCGCGTGCGCTTCGTGCGCAAGGAGCAGGTCTCGTCGTTCCTGGATGCCTCTGCTGCGGCCGTGCAGCGCGACTCGCTTGCGCGCGACCTGTACGCCACGCTCTTCGCGTACGTCGTCGAGACGGCGAACCACCGCGTGTGCCCTGGCCCCGACGAGCGGCACGCCACGCAGATCGTGCAGCTCGATGTGGCGGGCTACCAGTCGCGCGCCGGCTCCTCACTCGCGGCGCCTCCGCCGGGCGGCGCACAGGCCAGCGCGCACTGGGAGTTTGCCGGCGCCAACTTCGTGAGCGAGGTCGTGCAGAACTTCCTCGTGCGCCAGGCGTTCGACAACGACACGCCCGCAAACGCCGAGCTGCTCGCCGACGGCCTCTCGCTGCCCGACATTGTCACGGGCGACAACACGGCCTGCGTCGAGCTGCTGCGCGGCTCGCGCTCGCTCGGCGGACCCGCCGACCGCAAGCCGGCAGGTGTGCTGGGCAGCCTGGACAAGGCCGTGCACCGCGTGCGCACGGGCAAGGCCAAGGAGGACGACGATGCGGCGCTCCTGACGGAGCTCGACCAGCACGGTGCGCACGGCTCGTACGTGGCCTCGACGAGCAGCAACATGTCCAGCGCGCAGGGCCCCCGCCGCGTGTTCGGCATCAACCACTACCAGGGCCAGTGCTCGTACGACGTGCGCGCGTTCGTCTCGCGCGAGATGGACGTCTTCGACTCGTCGTTCGTGCAGATGCTGCGCCGCAGCCAGGTCAGCTTCGTCGCCAAGCTCTTCGCCGGTCCGAGTCTCGCCACCGAGGCGCACCCGCTCGACGCCAACATTGTCGTCAACGCGCAGGTCTCGGTGCGGCCACTGCGCCAGCCGACCCCGCTGCACCCCGCGGCGCCTCTCGCCGAGCCTCTGCTCGACGCGCAAAAGGTCTACGGCGTCTCGCGGCAGCTCAACGCTGCGCTCAGCGAGATCCTGAGCACGCTGCAGCACGCCGGCAAGGTCTGGACGGTGCTGGCCATGCGGCCCAACGACATCGACCAGCCGAACAGCTTTGACGGCCGCCGCGTCAAGGCGCAGCTGCGCAGCCTGCTGCTGCCCGACCTAGTTGCGCGCAAGCGGCACGACTACGCCACTGGCCTCTCGTTTGCCGAGTTCTGCCAGCGCTACGCCGACAGTGTCTCGCCGGCCGCAGCCGCCGCGGGCGTGTCTGAGCCGCGCGAGAAGATTCAGGCGTTCGCGATCGGCAACGCGTGGCGCGACGGCCAGGACTATGCACTCGGGCAGTCGCGCGTCTGGCTTGCCTACGGCCCCTGGCGCCGGCTGGAGGACCGCCTCCGCGCCAGCGAGCCTGCAGACCTGCAGGTGGACGTGGACGACCGCGCCGACGCGATGACTGAGCGCAGCGGCATGAGCCCGAGCTACCCGCCCGGCGGCATGGGCCGCAGCACCAGCTACCTCAACCCCTCGACGCCCATGGGCGGCGACGGTGACCTGGGCAAGGGCGGCTTCGGCGAGAGCGAGGACCAGCTGCTCCTGCGGCGCCCGAGCAATGTGTCGAACCCGTTCACCGGCGGCGCGGACTCTGTCAAGGAGGCCGGCGCGTGGGGCTCGGAGTGGGACAAGGGCGCGTACGGCGGCGTCGCGAACCCGGGCATCGTCGGCACGCTCGAGAAGTCCGGCGACCTGGAAGGCAAGGCGATCGACGCCGTCACCGAGGAGCCCGTCACGGCGGTGCGCCGGTGGTGGGTGCGCCTCGCGTGGGCCTTCACCTGGTGGATCCCGTCCTTTGTCCTGTCGCGCTGCGGCGGCATGAAGCGGCCCGACGTGCAGATGGCCTGGCGCGAGAAGGTGACGATCTGCGGCCTGATCGCCCTGTTCTGCGGCGTCGTGCTGTTCTGGATTCTCGGCTTCGGCGCGATCATCTGCCCGGGCACCAAGACGCTGTACAACGCCGCCCAGCTGGGCGAGCACAACACGGCCAAGTCGTACTACACTGCGATCCGCGGCGAGGTGTACGACCTCTCCAAGTGGGCCGGCGGCCGGCACGCCGCGGGCGTGACGAGCGACGTCATGACGGAGCTCGCCGGCCAGGACCTCACGCCGTACTTCCCGATCCCGCTCAACGTCGGCTGCCCGAACCTCGTGACCGACCCGACCGTCGCGCTGCAGACTAACGGCTCGTCGACGTACTACTCGGCCGCATTCACACAGGCGATCCACCTCAGCGGACCCTCGGCGCCCGACCAGGCCAGCACGCTGGCGAACGCGCAGTGGTACCCCAACACGCTGCTGCCGTTCCTGCGCAAGTACTACCACGGCACCTTCGTCGTCGCCTCCAAGGCGGTGCGCGACCAGGCGACGGACCGCAACTGGGCCGTGGTCAACGGCCGCATCTACGACCTCGGGAACTACATCTACACGAAGAGCCTGACGTCCACCGTCAGCTCGTCGCCGACGCTCTTCCTGCCCGAGTCGGTCAGCTCGCTGTGGGAAAATCAGCCCGGCCAGGACATCACGAGCGACTTCAACTCGGCCATGGGCAGCCTGAACACGACGACGCGGCGCGCGACGCAGCAGTGCCTCGACAACATCTTCTACATCGGCCAGACGGACAAGCGCGAGACGGCGCGCTGCCAGGTGAACAACTACCTGCTGCTCGCCTTCTCGTGCCTCATCATGGCCACGCTGCTCGCCAAGTTCCTCGCCGCGCTGCAGCTGGCGCCGAAGCGCAACCCGGAGCAGCAGGACAAGTTTGTCATCTGCCAAGTGTGAGTGATGCGCCCGACTACTGCGACTTGCTCGGTGCTGACGATGTACTCCAGGCCATGCTACACGGAAGGCGAGGAGGAGCTGCGCAAGACCATCGACTCGCTGTCCAACCTGAAGTACGACGACAAGCGCAAACTCCTGTGAGTAGCCCCGCCTGCGCTTGCTCACTGCTGCTTCCGCTCAACGCTTGTGCTCTCCTCGCGCAGCTTCATCATCTGCGACGGAATGATCGTCGGATCCGGAAACGAGCTGCCCACGCCCCGCATCGTGCTTGACATCCTCGGCGTCGATCCGAAGATCGACCCGGAGCCGCTGATGTTCAAGAGCGTCGCCGACGGCTCGAAGCAGCTCAACTACGGCAAGGTCTACTCGGGTCTCTACGAATTCGAGGGGCACGTGGTCCCGTACATCGTGGTGGTGAAGGTCGGCCGCCCGTCCGAGCGCACACGGCCCGGCAACAGAGGCAAGCGCGACACGCAGATCCTGCTAATGCGGTATCTCAACCGCGTCCACTTCGATGCGCCCATGTGTCCGCTCGAGCTGGAGATCTACCACCAGATGAAGAACGTCATCGGCATCGATCCCGCCTTCTACGAGTACATTCTCATGGTCGACGCCGACACGAGCGTGGAACCGGAGGGCCTGAATCGACTGGTGTCCGTCGCCGCCGACGACTCGCGCGTGATTGCCATCTGTGGCGAGACCAAGGTCGATAACGAGGAGGGCTCCTGGTGGACGATGATCCAAGGTGCGTTGCGATTGTCGCTCGGACGTGCGCTCGCGTGCTGACCTGCCTCGCCTCGACAGTGTACGAGTACTACATCTCCCACCACCTGTCCAAGGCCTTCGAGTCGCTGTTCGGCAGCGTGACGTGTCTTCCGGGCTGCTTGTGAGTCGCCTCGACGCCAGGTTGCTCTTGACGAAGCTGACACCCTCCGGCAGCTCGATGTACCGCATCCGCAGCGCAGACAAGGGCCGCCCGCTGTTCATCTCGAATCGCATCATCGACGAGTACTCGGAGAACCGCGTCGACACGCTGCACAAGAAGAACCTACTCTCGCTCGGCGAGGATCGCTACCTCACCACCCTGATCCTGAAGCACTTCCCGTCGTTCCGCACCAAGTTCACGCCCGACGCGCACGCCCACACTGCCGCGCCGGAGCGCTGGGGCATTCTGCTGTCGCAGCGTCGCCGCTGGATCAACTCGACGGTCCACAATCTGGCGGAGCTCGTGCTGATGCCCGAGCTCTGCGGCTTCTGCTTGGTGAGTCGCTCGCGGAAAGAAGCCTGCCCGTCCGCGCCTCTCTCACACGCTCGCAGTTCTCGATGCGCTTCGTCGTGTTCCTCGACCTCGTCGGCACGATCATCCTGCCCGCAACGACCGTCTACCTGGTGTACCTCATCGTCGTCGTGGCTACGGGCACGGCTGCGCTGCCGATCATCTCGCTCGCGCTCATCGGCGCGACGTACGGCCTGCAGGTCATCATCTTCCTCCTGAAGCGTCAGTGGCAGTACATTGGCTGGCTCATCATCTACCTCTGCGCGTACCCCGTGTGGTCCTTCTTCCTGCCGCTCTACTCGTTCTGGCACATGGACGACTTCAGCTGGGGCAATACGCGTATCGTCGTCGGCGAGAAGGGCAACCGCAAGATCATCGCCGGCACCGACGACGAGCCGTACGACGACAGCATGATCCCGCTGAAGCGCTTCAGCGAGTACCAGCGCGACGTCTTTAACGACCCCGACGCCGCCTCGCTGCGCTCCGGCCTCACGGGCGTCAGCGGCGCGGGCCCGTTCTCGAACAACTACGCCATCGGCATGGGCTACCCGCAGCAAGTGCAGCGCGGCCCAGGCAGCTACTACGCCGGCTCGGACGCAGGCTCGGCGGCGTACGGCGCGCCGACGACGCACGGCGGCGACTACTTCCAGAACACCAACGTCGTCGCGCACTCGCGCCAGAACTCGTCGAGCCAGGTGCTCGGCGGCTCGCGCGGCCCGTCGCGCATGCCGTCGCAGGCCTTTGGCTCGACGAACCCCATCGCGCCGTCGCCGACGATGTCGCCGTTCGGCTCGCCGATGTACGGCATGCAGGGCACGCCCATGTCGATGTACTCGCTCGGGCCCCAGAGCATGTACATGGGCGCCGGCGGCGCGCCGATGTACCCGCAGGCGTCGCCGGGCATGGCGCACTCGCCGAGCGGCTCCGAGGTCGGCTTTGCCAGCCCGCGCGCCTCGGCGATTCTGCCGCAGCACACGGGCGGCAGCGGCATGTGGGGCAGCCCCGGCGGCCAGCCGTCGCGTGCCCAGAGCACGTACGCGCTCGGCGGCAACAACCCCTTCGCCGCGCCCGTCGGCGCCCCTGCGGCGCCCGACGCGCTGCCGCAGAGCCTCAACGCCGAGCCGACCGACGAGGACCTGGCCGCGGCGGTGCGGCGCTACCTCGCCGCGCAGACCGACCTGATGGCGGTGAGCAAGCGCAACGTGCGCGACGCCGTCATCGCCGCGTATCCCAAGGCCGATCTCGCCTCGCGCAAGGCGACGATCAACAAGGCCGTCGACGACACGCTCTCCGGTGCCGCCTAGACAGAGCGGCCCGCCCGGCCGCCGCATGACCTCTCCTTCTCCATCCCCCTTCCCGACTCTCATGTAGCCCCGCGCACAATCTGACGACTTTACTTCATGCGATGATATTCTGTGCCAGCTATCGCATGTCGCCGCGCCGCACGAACGGCACGCCGAGGCCGCTGAGCAGCTGCCGCGCCTGCTCGGTGGCGTGCGGGCCGCGCGCGCTCGTGATGCAGTCGATCTGCGAGAGGGTGAGTGTCTGACACCACTGGCAGGGCGGGCGGCGCTCACCTGGAAGCCCGACGGCTTGCCCGGGTATGCGTCCCAGTTCGCCTCTGTGCCCGGCCACAGCGCCATGGCCTCGGGCGGGAAGCCGAGCGACACGACGCCCGAGAGCGCCGCGGGCGACGCTGGCGGCTGCGACGACGGCGGCAGCGCAAAGCCTTGGAACGAGCGCAGGCGCGGCAGCACGAACGTCGTCAGCTGCGCAAGAGGTCAGCATGAGTCGGCGCCGCAGCTCTGCGCTTGCATGCATCTTCCAGGCTGCACTCACCTGCTCGATCAGGTCCAGCGCCGCAGGGCCCGGCAGCACCGCCTGGGCGCCCACGGGCATGCCCGCGCGGATCTTGAAGCTCGCCGCGCCGCCCTTGGCCCGCACGATCTTGACAAAGCCACGCTCGCCGGCGTGCTCCGTGTCCACGCTGGCATCGGCTGCCGAGCCGAGCACGCGCGCACCCGTGATGGCGCGCAGCTGCGCAACCAGCGGCACGAGGGCGTTCTTGTTGGAGATGGCGTCCTTGCAGAACGACGTGATGACGACGCGCTCGAGGCGCGGCACGTCGCGCGCCGGGTCGGCGGCGTGCTGCGGCGCACTGCCCGGCTGTGCCCGCCGGTTGCCGCGTGCTGGCCGCGCCGGACGCAGCGCCGTGTACGGCGACGAGGGGTCCCAGCGGCGCGGCTCGGCGCCGCCCGAGCTCGACGGGCGCGCCGCGGTGGGGTCGTACGTCATGTACAGCAGCGACGGCAGCAGCGTGCGCTGGTAGTGCTCGCCCAGCCGGCTGAGCTGCGTCGGGCCGGGCAGCACGGCGGGCGTCGCCAGCGGGCGGATGAGGCGGGCGGCGGACATCGAGATGGAGGTGGGATGCGAGGAAGGAGCGGCGGCGAGGCGGCGTGGCTTTTTGGCGGGACGCGTCACGTGATGTCGCCTGCCCGGCCGCACCTCGAGCCGCTCTACTCGACTGCAGCGCCTGCGCAGCACCTAGGCGCTTCATCTTGATGGAGGGGCCTGGGTACGGACAGCGAGTGCTTCTGCCAATGCGATTTTCGGCTCGCAGATGAGATGCAGGTGTGCTGAGCCCTCCAGCGCCTCCTGTCGCTTGCAGCGCGTGATCAGGCCCGCAGCACGGGGGTCGGCTGTCATCGCTCAGCCTGCGTCTCTTGCGCCCGTTGGTCGGCCCGTTGAGAGGGCGACGACAAGCTGCTCAAGAACAAGGACAGGTGCTCTCAGCTGCATCTCGCCACAGGAGTGTGTGTAGGGTCTGCGAAGGCCGCACCTTTAGGCGGGCTCGCAAGCCAAAGCTCTGCGCATGCGTCCCCGAGATCTTTCTCCCTACAACACACCCAGCAACAGCTGCGAGAAAGCTGCAAGAGTCTTCAGCCATCTTCAGCAGCATACTACGCAGATATTGAGACCTATAAGAGCTCGTTCTGAGCCCGGAGGTGCTTCGCCGGCGCAAGAGAGCTCGGAAGGTGGGGGCGAGCGGGTCCACACGCGACGGCCGCGTGCCTCCGAGCGGCCTGCCTCGCCGCACCCTTCCGTTGGGCTGGCCCTTGACGTGAAGCTAGCTTGCAGCGGAGTCCGAGCGGGCTGCATGCTGCGATGGGGCCTGCAGCGGCGTGCGGCGGCAGCTCAAGGCGCTTGCATCGGCGCTGCCGGCTGCTCCCAGCGTTCGGGCAGGCACCAGGGTTCGCTGCAGCGCTGGACCCTGAGCGGCGAGCCACGCAGATCTCGCGCGCTGCTGCAGCTGCGGTGCCTCCGCCTTGCTGCTGCGCCGCCGATGCTGTCGGCCGTGACCGTCCTGGCGGCCACTCCAGCAGACGGTCAGCTCGAGATCCGTCAGCCGCAGCGCAGCATCGGCCGCAGCGGCACCCTTCGCCTTGGCCCACACGATGAAGCAGCGCTCAGCGGCGCTTCCCACACCATGCCCTTCTGCGACTGCTGGACCCGCAGCCTGCTGGACCTGCTCCTCTCCCAAAGCGGCACCAAGACGTGTAACCACAGCAGCGGATCGAGTTCTCCGATGAGTGCTCTGCTGTGCTGGAAGCTTCCGCTGTGGAGCCGAGCCGAAGAAGGCGTCGACGGTCTATTTTGCGCTCGCAGGCGGCGCGCTGCGGGCCGCTGCACGCCACGCCGAGGTGCATCGATGGGAGCCTCGCCGTGGGAGCACCCGCGCGCCGAGTTTGGCGCATGGCGCAGCACGACCGCCCCCTGCTGTCTTCGCCAGCACTCTAACTCTTGCGATCGTCGCTCCAGAGCGGTGGCGCCCACTATGCGGGAAGCCGGACCTGACCGGCCTCCGGATTGAGGCAGGAGAACACAGAGAAGCGAGATTCCATCTGTCCCTGAAACACTACTCACGATCGCTGCTCCCAATTTCCCAGAGAGCGGCGAAGAGGCGAACGGCGCACGCGCACATTTCAATTTCGTCATGAGTGCCCCTCAGTTGCGTAGGGGGGCTGTGCTGCTCGCTCAGCACTCCATGCGTAGACTCCAGAATGCAGCGTGCTGCTCGGTCAGAGGAAGGAGGGAGCCGAGGAGAAGAAGCGAGGAGGCTCCCTCTGACGGCGCGGGGACGGCGTGCAGCGGCAGGCGCCGCGCCGCGCCGCGCGGTCCAGACCCGGGCCGGCGACCTTGATCGCCGCGCGGCACGCCGCGGCGCGTTTAAGCTCGTCTCTCGCAGCGCTCCCGCAGCGCTGCGCCAGCGTACCATTCGCAGCCGCAGACCCCACGGACCGGTGTCCAGACCCCAGCACCGGTCCCTGCAGCATGCAGGGCCCTCGCTGCTGCGCCCTGCGTTCTGCGCTTCGGCTTTCGCTGGCCGCCCCGTGGGTCCGGCGTAGTGCCGCGACGACGACGACGACGACGACGACGAAGAGCAAGTCCAGACCGCCTCGCCCTGATGCTGTCTCGCACGGCCGGCAACTTAGGAGCTCGCCCGCCAGCACTCTCGCTCCTGACGGCTCTCGCACCCTGCCTGGAGATCGCTCTGCTTGTAAAGTCGCCGCCGCGTGCTGGTGCTGCTTGCTGCTGGTCAGCGCGATCAGGCTGCCGTATGGGCACCTCAACTGAAGCGAGGCGAGTTGCAGCGCCCGGAGAGACAGCGGCGATGGGCGTGGTGGCTGTCATGCACGCGCGGCGCGGTGACGCGTGGGCTTGCTGCGTGCGATGCAGCAGCGCACAGCAGCGCAGAAGCAGCATCGAGAGCTGGCTCTCTCACCCGGCCTGAATCTCGCAGCGCCGGGCTTTTGCTCGCGGCGGCCTTGGCTGGCGATCAGTGCAGGAAAGAGCTGATGCTCAGATGCAGATGCAGCACCCGTTCAGAGGCAGCAGCATGCAGGGCTCGTTTTAGAGGCAGCGCGGGGCGGCAGCAAGAGAGCGAGGCGTGGCGGCGCGCGGAGGATGAGATGCGGCGGCGCGGCGTGCGGCGCTGCACGCGCGCGGAGGCTGCTGCCGTGCCTGTCTGCCGCCGCCGATGGTGGGCGACCTCGCCGCCCGCGCCCGCGCACTCCATCGCGATCGAGCTCGCGCGTTCTGGCTGATGGACCCAGAATGGACCCCGGGTCGGCCTGAAGCTGCGCTCTCTCTCCCTCACCACCTCTTGCACACCCCTCGCTCACGTCCTACCGCACCCCAGACGTCGTCGTCGTCGTCGTCGCCGCCGCCTTGTGATTTTCGCTGCTGCTCTCTGCCCTGCTGCCGCGCCCGCGTTCCGCCTGCTTCTCGCAGCGAAGAACGCCGATCTGCCGCGCGCCGCGCTGCACCGCTTCGCCTCTCACCCTCGCGACCATCCCCGGGCGCCCACGCCGCCGCGCCCAGCCCAGCCTCCGGCTGCCGCGCGCTCGCTCGTGCTTCCTCCAGGAAGCCGGCTCTGGCGTGGGTGCTCCCTCAGCCCGCCCGTTCGCGCCGCGCCGCTCCTCGCCTCGGTGGCCCCAGCCGCCGCATGACGTCCTTCTCCCTGCCGGGACGCGGCGTCTCCATCCTCAACGACGCCACCGCCGAGAGCTCGCGCGCGGGCAGCAGCAGCAGCACCGGCGCTGCCGACGGCTCGGCCGCATGGTCGCGCAGCGGCTCGCCGCGCCGTGAGGCTCGCAGCACGGCGGCCAAGCGCAAGGCCATCGACCAGGGCCGCATCGACGCCGGCAACGCAACGCGCGCATGGCGCAAGACGACGGCCGCCGCCGCCGGCATCGGCCTCGGCGCCGCCGACCCCAACGAGGCCAGCGCGTCGAACAGCAACTCGGCCGCCCACTCGACGGACGCCTCCGAGGCGCCCAGCCCCAACCCCTCGCCGCCCGGCACGGCCTCGGGCGGCGGCAGCTCCGACGAGTCGCCCGGCTCGTCGGGCGGCTCGTACTTTGCCACCAAGGACGGCGGCTACGGCAGCGGCATGCTCTCGAGCTCCATCAGCGGCACGGCGCGCTCCTACTCGACCGAGGCCACGTCGCTCGGCGACGGCTCGTGGGCGTCGGAGCGCAGCCGCAAGATGGAGCCGTCGAAGCTCGGCGTGCCGGCGGACACGCGCCGCATGGGCGGCGCCAGCCCCACGGCGCCGCGCGACTCCAAGGTGCTGAGCGAGCCGGGCCTCGTCACCTCGCCGCAGCCGATGGACAAGGACAGCCCCGACGCCGACGACGAGATCTCGCCGCCGAGCGGCACACACAACGGGCCCGGCGGCCACGGCTCGCGCACGGGCATCGACGGTCACGAGAGCGGCGAGCCGGAGCGCACTCGGCGGCTCGCGTCCATGCGGCAAGGCTCCTCCACGTCGGGCATGGACTGGGAGGACCAGCTGCCGCAGCCGCAGCGGTCGCACGGCGACTTTGTCGCGCCCATGCCGCCGCGGCAGAACTCCAAGCACCTCACCGTGCCCGGCACGGCTTCGCGCTCGTCGGACGACAGCAGTGGCCCGAGCCCGATGAGCACCTCGCAGGACTCCAGCCGCTCGCCAAGCATGGCCGTGACCAACGACGGCAGCACCAGCTCCGCCTCGCACACGCCGTCGCAGCCGCTCACCGTCGGCGGCAAGAAGCGCTATCCGTGCCCGTTCCCGGGCTGCGAGAAGACCTTCTCGACCAGCGGCCACGCCGCGCGGCATCACCGCATCCACTCTGGTGAGTCGATCTCAAAGCTTTGCATCTCATGCCCCTGCTCACTCCCTTTCCAGGTCGCAAGCCGTACCGCTGCACATTCCCCGGCTGCAAGGCTAGCTTCTCGCGCCAGGACAACAGCCTGCAGCACTACCGCACACACGTGCTGCACCCCAAGGGCCGCAGCGCCGCTGCCGTCGCCGGCAGCATCGACGCGTCCTCCGACGACCTCGGCTCGCTGCACCTCGATCCCGAGACGGAGGCCAGCGTGCAGCTCGGCCGCAAGGCACTGCAGGAAGGCACAGCCATCGCCGTTGTGCAGGAAGTCGTCGGCCGCGACGGCCGCAAGGAGGAGGCCGTGGCACGCACCGTGGGCATGCCGCGTCTGCGCCGCGAGTCGATGCAGTCGGACGCCGACATGCGCGAGCTCGAGGAACTGCGCATGCGCCACGGCTCGAACGCGCCGCACGTCATGATCCGCAGCGCCTCGGGCGGCCCGGGCACCATGTCCGTGCACCACACGCCGCCGCGCATGCCCTACGCAGAGCACGGCCACCTGCCGAGCTCGTCGCCGCACCACATGTCGCACGGCCACCTGGTGCACCACGCTGCGCCGCCGCACGTGGCTGCCTTTGCGCCTCCTCCGCCGCCGCACGCCGTCAACATCGTCGCCCGGCCCGTGCTCGTGAGCGCAGCGCCGCCACTGCCGCCGCACGGCAGCCCCACGGCGTACTCGGGCCACCGCTCGTGGTCGTCGGACGTCGCGCCGCACAGCTCGATGGCCGCCTACGGCGCTCCGCCGCACCCCGCCGAGAGTCGTCGCATGTCGAGCACGTCTGCAACGTCGTCCGAGCCACGCTGGGCAGACTCGCCGCTCAATCTCATGCCGTCGTTCCGCCGCGAGGTCGCTCCGCTGCCGCACCCGGCAGGCGCCTACGGCGACCACCGCCGCAGCCACTCGATGAGCAACCCGCGGCCAAAGTTCGGCAACGGCGGCTTCGACGGCCCGCCTCGCGGTGCGGCCCACGCCGACATCGCCGCCAGCGTCTCGCCGCCGATGTCGCACATGGACCGCGGCACGCCGTTCCAGGTGCCGCCGCCGCCGCGTGCAGGCCCGAGCGGCTCGTCTGCCATCTCGCGCCTGCCGCCGCCGTCGGCACTGCCGCACCCCTCGCCGGCCGGCGCGCCGATGCCGCCCACGTTCGCCTCGCCCAGCGCCGCCGCCAAGCTCGGCGCCGGCCCGCACCGCAGCACGATGCGTCTGACGGGCCCGCTGCCCAGTCTGATGCAGCTGCCGTGCTCGAGCGACCGCTCGACGTCGGGCATGACGCCCACGACGCCCATGGACAGCCCCGGCCTGCACGTCGGCATCAACGCCGCCGCGCCGCGCGTGCACCCGCCGACGGCGCGACAAGAGCTCATGCGGCTGCCTCCGCTGCGCCCTCGCGGCCCGTTCGAGGGCCCTTAGACTCGCCACCACCTTTTCGGACGCCCCTTTTCACGCCATCACATCTGCTTGCGCTTCTCATCAAGTGATCCTCTCGCATCTCTCCCCATGGGTCTTGGTCATGCCAGTCACCGGTCCGGTCAGACAGCTCCCTCTCTCACCTTACTACCCCCCCTACCCTGGCTCTCCCTCTCCCACGCCATGCCTTCGCGACTTGTTCGTCCGTCGGCGTCGCGTGCGTGCGTCATACGACTTCCCCTATCCCCCCCTCATCACGACTCGCTACACTGCCACTCTACTACTCCCCCCTACCTGTTTCGTCCCCCCTGCCCCGCTCTGTTCCTGCCGTGCTATTCTGTGCCCCCGCTGCTGCCTCTTCCCTGACGACCCGCGCGCGTCGTGCTGTACTACCTCCTTACTGCTATTCGGTGCTCTCACCTCGTCTCGCTTCTTCTCGCGCACATCGGCCCACCTAAAATGCAATCTGCTCAAACAACAGTCGCGTGCGCGTGGTGTGTCGCTCGCTCGCCGCAGCATGGCTCGTCATGAGGCACTCTTGCGCAGACAGGCTCCGCACAGCAGCAGACAAGTCGTGATTGCGTGCCTCAAGACGAGGCGTCAGAGGAGGGACATGAGGGTGGGTCTAGAGGACGTGAGGATGTGTCTAGCATGATGGAGCGCAGCCGGCCAGCGGCGCGCCTCAGGACTCGTGCACTGGCTCCTGCTGCATCTGGTGCGGCAGCGAGGCCGGGCGCTGTTTCGGGCTGGGCGACGAGCCAAAGAAGAGTGCGTCGGTGCCGCCCTTTGACGCTCTCGGATTGTGCTGCAGCGTGCCTGGCGCATCGCGGGCGTAGTCGAACGGCGCCGCCGAGTCGAACGAGGCAGCAGATGACGAGGAAGGGTTGCGCAGCGAGGAGCTGGCGCTTCCTGGCTCGGCTAGGCAGCCGCGACGCCAGGCCTCGAGTGCGCCGTCTTCGCTCTCCTCGGTCGAAGGGCACGTCGACTCGGACCAGTACGACTGCAGTGGCTGAGCATGCACGTCGTGCGCTTCGCCGAAGGAAAGTGCGAGCCCGGAGAGGGGACGCCAGGCGAACGGATCGGCGGGCAGCGAAGGCGACGTGTCGACGGAGGTGCGCGGCGAAATGAAGGGACTGACACCGTCCAGCGGCGTCAGTGGCCCGTGCGTGCCGGCCGACACGGGCGAGTCGTAGTGCACGAAGGGCGAGCCGAGCGAGCGCAAGGCTTGTGTGGGACTGGCGTTGGGCGTGAAAGAGAATGGACGCCGTGATTGGAGCAGATACTGCGGACCGCCCGTCGTAGGTGCGTGCGAGGCACGCGTACGCGCTTCGGGCGAGACATGGCGAGCGCCGAGGTTGGCGGTCATAACGGAGCCGGAGACGGCGAGGCGTTCGAGACCATCGATGCTGGTGATGCAGTCTCCCGAGCCGCGCTGTGCGCCAGGCGAGCTGAGGTGGTCCGACGTCTCATCGACGGGCACGTCGCTGGGTCCGCGAGGAGCAGGTGCGATGGCGCGCCACGCCTCCGTCGCAGGTGCGCTGAGCGGCATGTCGGCGTCCGAGTGCATCTCGTGGTAGATCTGGTCGTCGGACGATGCTGGAAGCCCTTGCTCCTCGGGCGGCGCAGACTCGCCGCACTCGCTCACGCTGCTGCTGCGCATCCACTCGAGCGCCGGCGAGCGGCGACGCGTGGGCACCTCGCGAGGCTGAGACACAATCTCTTGCGCCAGAGGAGTCGTCTCGCTGCGACGACGAGGTGTGGAGGATGAGGATGGTCGACGTGCTGCGAGATGCGCCATTCGCACGGCAGCGGGCACAGCTGACGGACCGATGGCCTCGTAGGACTCGCTCGACGAGCGCTGGTGCTGGCGAGCCGTCTCGGCTGAGCCGCGTCTCCATGCACCACGGCGATGCAGAGGCGCAAGAGGCTGGGCGTGCAGTCCGGTCGCGACGTCGGACGGCCCTTCGGAGAGAGGCGCCTCGCCGTTGCGCCAGTCTCGCGGATGGCTGTCGGTGCGCGCCGCTCTGTGCTGGCTTGTCTCTGCAGCCGTGCCCCACCTGCTCTCACGCCTAGAAGGCTGCGCATGCGCCGTCGCCGATGATCGACGAGGCTGCCAGTTCTCCTGCGCCGGCGCGTCGTGCGAGTGCCAGTTGGGCGTCTGGCGCGGTACGGAGGCGCGACTCTCGGCTTCGAGCTTGAGAAAGTCGCGCACGAGACGCTGGTACTGGCTTTCCCAGAAGACGGCATCGGCAGAGGCGCGGACGGCCGTGTCGCGGTAGTACTCGAGCGCTGCAGGTGCGACGCGTCAGGCGTGTATGACGTGCAGCTGGACAGACCAGGCGACGTACCGAGCTCAAGGTCGTTGATCTTTGCAAGAGCCTGTGGACAGCTTCAGTGGTGGACTTGTGGAAGACCTCGATGCATGACTTACACGCGCGAGGAGCACCGGCATCGGCGTCGAGTTGAGGACGTTGATCGCCTCTTGGCTCAGCATCGCGTCGACGCGAGTTGGCTCGGGCGTGATGAGCTGCGCTGCTGCTAGAGTGTACGAGAGGCCCGCTGCGACATGATCGTGCAGAGAAGGTGCACTGCTTGGTCCGCTGAGTGGTGCCGTGCGGTACTCGAGTGGCGAGCTGCTCCGCTCGCCGTCCGCTGTAGAGGCCACGTGCGCAGGCACCGTGACGGCAGGTAGAGGCACGATAGGCAGACGCTTACGCTGTCCAGTCGTGAGGTCGAGCGGACGACCAAGCGGCGGCGGCATGGGTGCTGCCTCGGAGCACAGCATCGGGCGGTCTTGCGAAGGCGCGCCCGGACGCGACGGTGTCTCTTGCGCCTTGCGCAGTGCCAGAGCGGCTGCGACGAGCGCAGCCGACGTGCGAGGTGACGTGTCGCGAGCGTGCACATCGGGGCTGGGAAAGAGGTCGAGGAAGTTGTTGGGCGAGAGCGTCGACTCGGGCGACGCGCTGAACTGCAGGTCGGGCGAGTCGGACGGCGAGCGGCGAGCGCCTGCATCAGTGATGGGCGCAGTGGTGGGCAGCGGCGGCAGCGCCGAGGTGGGCGCCGAGCGCGAGGCCTGACTGCGAGCGCGCCATGACGATGAGCGGGCGGTGGAGTTGGAGTACTGGCGCGGCGAGAGCTGCGGGCGCTGCTGCGGCAGCGGCGGCAGGCGCGTGTCGGAGCTGCCGAGCGTGGGCGAGTCGCCGCGGCTGGAGTGGGTGCTGGCGTGGCCGTGCGAGCGCTGCTGCTGGCGGCGTTGCTGCGGTGGTGGTGGTGCGGAGGAGGACGAGGCCGCGGCACTGCCAGGAGGCGGCCCGCTGCGGCGTGCAGAAGCGGCGGCGGAGGCGGGCGAGGGTGTGCGGTGGTGCGAGCGCGGCGGCGGCGGAGCGGAGAGGTGCCCGCCGCCAACCCGCGACGGCGGCGGCGGCGCTGGGTGCGGCTGCTGCGGCACGCCGGCGGACATGGTGTGGTGGTGATGAAGCGAGAAGAAGAGGCGTGGCTGCTCTTGTATGCCAGGGTGCTAGCGCTGCGCTCGGCGTCGGCGCCTCGGCCAGCTGCGAGGGGAAGCAGACAGGGGCGCCAAGTGTGACAGCATACGCACGCCGCGGTGCATCGGGCAGGCGGCCGCGCTCGACCTGCCCTTCTCGGCCCCACTCGTCCGTGCATCACACCGGCCAGCGCACCGCTTTGCTCTCATCTCGCCGAGATCACACACAGACGTGCGGCACCGGCTGCACCCTCTCACTGTCAACCGGCGGGCCGGCGTTGTGGGGTGCACACGACGCTGGCCGGCGGCGGACCGCTCGAGGTGGAGCCGCGGCGGCTCGCCCCACAGAACTCTGCTTCACGACCCTCACCGCCGCTCTTCGTCTCGCTCCGCCGCCGCAAGAGCAAGAGCCTCGCAACGCCGCATAAGGAATCTCCCGCTGCGCACTGCACGCTGCAGCCTGGCCTAGGTCTGCCAAGCACCTCGCTCGCCGACTCCAGCGCTGAAGTACATGCCTCGCCGTGACGACGCCTCGACCGGCACTCGGCGACTGCCTTCTCGCCGGCGCGCCTTCGCCTCAGGGGGTGATCCGAATGGCTCTCTCGCGCGAGAGCGGCAACGACGGCCGCCGCTTGATTGGTGCCAGATGGGAGAGAGGCTCATCAAACGTCGAGGCGCTCAGCTCCGCTGTCTCTCACCACCATCTCGTCCTCGCTGTGACTGAGGCGGTCAACGTATCATTCTTCCAGCCGATCTGGACGAGTCTGCTGCTCGCTTGTGCTCTAGGACGAGCCTCAAGCATCTGTCTCGCTCCCACTCGACTTCGCCGCTCGCACTCTCCCACGCCGCTCATCATGCCGCCCAAGGTGAGTTTTCGTCGACAAGATCCTGCGTGTCACGCACATGCTGACGCTGTCTTGCAGAAGGAGAAGCAAGAGACTAAGGCCGCTGCGGCGCCTCCCTGGACGTCCGACCAGAACGCACTCCTCATCGCGGCGGTGGCAGATGTCGTCATCGCTAACCGTCGGAGCCTGTACGACAATCCCGGCCTTGAGCGTGAGTGAAGCCGTGGCCAGGCGTGTGTCAGGGCCGATACTCAGACCTAATGGCCTGCAGCCTGGCGTGCTATCAATCGCGGCAGCCTACTCAACGGTCGTCTGATCACGCTGCTCAAGGCGGTCTGCTCGGCGCACGGAGCAGCGCACTGGCGTCCTCCCACCAAGGAAAAGGAAGAAGCAGACGCGGCGAAGCTCAAAGCGAGTCAGAGCAAGGCGCCCGCCAAGACCGGCAACGCAGCCTCAGCGAAAGCCGGCAGCAGCAAGGCGAAGGCCATAAAGGAGGATGATGGCAGCGAGGAGGAAGAGAAGCCCAAGCCCAAGGTGACGGCGGCGCAGAACAAGAAGGCCATGACCGAAGCGGCGCTCGCCGCCGTGTGCGCCAGCAGCACGACGATCGACGACGACGAGGACGTGCCGCCTCCACCGCCGCCTCGTGCTCCCAAGAAGGAGGCCAAGGCATCTGCCAAGCCTTCGGCCAAGGACATCGCGCCTTCGTCGTCCGAGGAGGAGGAGGAACAGCAAGCCGAAGCGAAGCCTTCGCCCGAGGTCGAGGTCGTCATCGTCAAGAAGCCCAAGAGCAAGGGCAAGCCGGCGTCGAAGAAGGCCAAGCCCGCGACGCCCTCGGAGCCGGAAGACGACGACGAGGCCTCGAACTGCGCGGAAGGCACGCAGCACGCCAACACCGACAGCGAGGTCGAGGCGGTGCGCCGCAAGATCATCAAGAGCCCTGCGCCGGCCATGATCAAGGCGGTAAGTGTCGCGTCGACGTTCTGCTTGCCCCTTCTCACTACGCGCTTCACAGAAGAAGGCTGCCGCTGAGGCGAGCAGCAGCAAGGCCAAGCCCGAATCGGCGAAGAGCAAGCCCAAAGCTACGAAGCGCAAGGCACGCACGCCGTCGGACGACTCAGACGACGGCTCGGCGCCGTACGAAGAGGCGCAGGAGTCGGCCGAGGAGGACGATGACGACGCCTCGTCGCAGCACGACGTCGTCACGTCTGCCGAGAGCGATGCACGCTCGACGCCCGACAGCGAGGTGGAGCGTCGTCAGAAGAAGAAGGCGAAGAAGAGCCGCTGAGCTGCTTCGACGTCGGCAGCCACCCGCTACCCGCTCTCACCCCGCTCTACACCCTCGACGCACGCCCTTGTGCCGACCGCTTCACACCATCGCGACCCGTGCGTCGCGCGCGCTCACGCCCGAGCCAGGCCGTCTCTGTCTCCTCCTGCCGCCGTGGCAGTCTCATCCCGTAACGACACGCTTCTTGACCTCGCCTGCGACTGCGTGCGCTTTGAGAGAGATGTCTCGGCGAGCGGCGGAGGGATGCAGGTCGCCGCGAGGGGCAGCCGTCAGGGGCTCCCATGCGCGGCATGTGGTGGAGATGGACCCTCGGGGCCGCGGCGACGCGCACGCGTTGTGTGGCGGAACGAGAGGTGCAGCGGGTCAGGCACGGCCGCGTGGCAGCAGCATCACCCGCAGCAGATGGAGCGTGTCGCGAGCTCAGCCGGGCTGCATGCTGGCAAAGCCCTCACGCCCACACGCCGCAGCGAGAGGAGCTCGAGTTAGGCGGGCCCGACGTGCCGCCGGCTCGCAGCGCAGCCGCCGCAGGCCGGCGGCTCGCAAGCGCTCGGCCGCTCGCGCATGCGTGCCCCGCGCCGCACAAGCCATCGCGCATGCATGAACGCACAGCGGCACTCCGGCGCCGCGAGATCACCCTCCTGCAGCTGGCGGCTGCATCCGCCTTGCTCCCGGGCACGGCGCCGGGACCGTCAGGCGCTGTTCCTGGCGCTGGAGCTGCGCCCCAGAAGGCAGCATCCAGGCGGCGTAGGAGATGCAGAGGGAGAGCGAATCAGCATGCGGAGGGGGTGCGGCAGCGCTGCCCGATGTGGATGCTCGCGCGGTAACGACGGCACATAAGAGAGGGCGCGCGAGCTTTTCTCTCTCTCTCCCACATCCTCAAGCACTCACTCGTCTGTCTCAAGCACCTGCCCCTGCCTCTTAGCATGAAGTTCGTCGCCGCCGCCCTCGCGCTCGTCAGCGCCCTCGCGCTCGTCGCCGCTGCCGACGACCGCCAGACGATCGACTTTACCGACGCCGACGGCGGCGAGGGTTTCTGGTGAGCGCTTTCAGTCGACGTTCGCGAGGGATGCTGGCTGTCATGCACGAGCGTCGCGGTGCTGCGGGCGAGGAGGCAGCTCGGCGACGGCGACGTGGACCTCTTCGCGCCCCCAGACCTTGCGCCTTCGTCCTCTTCTTCTGACACACACGCACCCCTCGCCAGCAAGAAGTGGAAGTGCGCCTGCATCAACTACGTGCCCAACGACTCGAGCCTCTACTTCCAGGCGGCCTACTGCCAGCCCGGCGACGCACGCAACAACGCGCGCGACACGACGGCGCGTGTCTTCTGCTCGTTCACTGACGGCACCAACAAGAAGTGAGCACCCAGCGAGAGCGGCCGTGCATAGCACCGACTGACGCACGCACTGCTCCCACCCCAGGCTCGTCAACAAGCACATCGCGGCGGCCACGGGCGGCCACCTGCACCAGTACTAAGCATGCGCACGGCTGGGCGCCCACGCCGCAGCGACTGGAGCTGCGCAGCAATGTCCCAGCTCCGCACATATACTTTCGTCTACACCCCATGGCGCACGACCTGAATGGCACGCTCCTTTTGCGGCGCTGCGAGGCAGACATGGCCTCTGACTGAGGTCGGGCTACGCTGTTGAGAGTGCCGTGCCGCGAATGCCGTCCAGGACCGGTGGGAAGGAGCGCAGCTGCGTGGCCCCGTGCTGCAGCTCGCAGACTTGGACGCCCATGACAGAGACGGCAGTCCCCAGAGCTCGGCCCTCGCGAGGTCACGCAGTCTAGTCAAACGTGCATGCTGGGATCGGCGATGCAGCCCGAGCAGCTCTCGTGTGCGGCTGCCCCGCAGCCCGGCCGCTAGCCGCGGCCAGGCACGTCCGAGCCAGAACGTGCCTCGAAGAGGAGTTTGCTGGCTGCCTGTGTCCGATGCGGCTGCGGCGAGTGAGCATGTCTCGCATGGCGCTGCAGACGGTGACGCTTGAGAGCAGCTGATCTGCGGCTGTCCCGCTTGCCTGCGCTGCCCGCGGCCGCGGCGTGGCTCCCGATGTGCCGGCGGCTGGCGCGGCGCGCTCGGCGCAGATGCCGGCGGCACGCTTCTGCGGCTGCGCGCCACGCGGTGCGGCGCTCCTGCATCTCCCCCGCATCCGCATGACAGCACACGGCACTCCGGCGTCCGCCGCGAGATCTCCTCGTGGTCGCCTCGCCGTCGCCTCCACTCGCTGCCGAACAGCGCGAGCCCCAAGGGGCCGTGCGCTGCAGCTGGTGCCAGAGGGGCCACCGCAGCCGTGCAAGAGGCGCGCGGCTCGCGGCATGCGGCGTGCCGAGCGGCAGACGTCAGCGATGCAGCGGAGGCCCAGCACCAGGAACAGCGAGGCGCATGCCGATGAGCTGAGAAAGGGGAGAAGCAGCGCTGTGCTCGACGTCCCCGCTCGCTGTGCTGCATGCCTCTGCGAGCTACATAAGCCCGCAGCGGCCAGCGCTCCAGGCTCCCTCCCTCCCATCCTCAAGCACCTCCACTCGCTCGTCTGAAGCAACTCTCCACCCAAGATGCACTTCCTCGCCTCCGTCGTCGCGCTCTTCAGCGCCCTCATGCTCGTGTCGGCCATTGACGAGCGCGTGCTTGTCAAGTTCAACGACTCCAAAGGCGGCGTCGACTACTGGTGAGCCGCAGCGTCGGTGCTCTCAAGCGCAGAGCCTGACATCTGTCCTGGCGCAGCAAGCAGTGGAAGTGCGCCTGCGTCAACTACCAGCCCAAGGACACGTCGTACGAGTTCGCCGTCAGCGGCGCCTACTGCAACCCGGGCGACTTCCAGGGCCGCAACCCCGACAGCGAGGCAAAGGTGTACTGCGTCTTCACCAACGGCAAGGACACCAAGTAAGTGTCTTCGGCGCGTGCGGCTCGACGTGAGAAAGCGGTGGGCGAGCGTCCTCGAGCTGACAGCATCCTTTCTGCTACCTCAGGACGGTCAACAAGCACATCGCTGCGGCCACCGGCGGCACCCTCTCGAGCTGAGCGCCGGCCGCATGTCCAGCAGAGAGGCGCAGACTGCTGCTGCAGGCGTTCAGCGATCTGCTGGCCTCGCCGTGTATACCCTCGCAAGCCGAGCCGAACCTTCATGACACACGTCTCTTAACACCTTTTCTCTCGCCTTGCCTGACTATTGTGTTCCCCTTTGAGGCGAGGACGGAGGCAAGCAGCAGCAGCGAGAGGAGTCTGAAAGTCCGTGTTGACGTCGGCGCCGCGCGTGCGGCCCAGCCGCACACTCAGGAACGGGAGAGGGGCAGTCCCGCGAGCGATAGAAGAGCGCGAAGCTCGGCTCGGTGCGGTGAGTCAAGCTGCCGTCTGGTTTTCTCTACCTCGCTACCACCAACACTCGTACCACCAATGCTCTCCAGTCCTCGCGAGATGAGCTATAGGCCTCCAGGCCGCTCTCGCCGACAAGCTGCCGGCGATCCCAACGCCGCTCGCCGCGTCACTTCAACGGCGTCACCCGCCGCTGCGCCGCATGCGTCCGTCGGTCAGGAAGAGGAGCTCTTCTACGCCGGCATGTATGCGCCGGCGGCGGAGCGTCTCGAGCCCAACTGCCCGACTCCAGCTCCGTCCGCCTCAGACTGTTTCCACGAGAGACGGCGCGCGAGGCACGCGCGGACTGCCACGACTACGGCGGCAGCGACAGCCGCCGCGACGGAGCAGGACGGTTCAGCTCGCGAAGCTGGTTCGCGGGCGGGCAGTGCCAGCGATCTCGCGACGCCACTTCACACTGCAGCACGTCCGTCGAGCGCTTCAAGTGTTCGCACCGGCAGTGGCGCGCTTGTCGTCGGCGAAGGACAGCTCAAAAGCGTGAAGGCAACCACACAACAGAGCAAGAAGTCTGCCGAGCCGACGTCGCGATACTCGATTGCTGCTGGCCGGGAGGAGAAGCGCAAGCAGCAAGCAGCCGCGTCTAAGGCCGCCCGGAACGAGCAGCCAGACTCGTCTGAGGACACCGAAGAGGAATCAGAGGAGGGGTCTGAGGAGGAAGCCTCAGCGTGTTGTATGAAGGCATCGTTCTTGCACAGAGACTTCGTATTCATCTGTCCGATGCGGACCTGGACGCTCTCCTGCTGCAAGCCGAAGAACTGAAATCAGCGCTGCCTTCCCCGGACCTACCCAAACAAGAACTCGAGCTCGTCGATCTTACCTCGGCGCCGTGGAACCGTTCCAACATCCTGCCACCGAGCACCAGCGAGCCGCTGCTGAGATGGCTCAAGAGCTTCTATCAAGAGCATGTGCAGCCCCTACACTCCGCGATCGAGCCGCGCTTTCAAGAGTCTTTGAGAATCCGAGCCATCTCGTATCCAAAGATCCGAAGGAGGCTGGCGGAGTTCGGTCCCGAAGTGAGTCGTGCACTAGCTTTCAGGCGTGCAAGACTGACGGCTACTCTCAGGCAGAGTTGGTGCATCCCACACGGGCGTGGGCGACGGTCTTCGAGGGCGAGGCGTGGAGGAAGACGCGAGGAGACGTCTCTCATCCCAGCATCCTGCTCAACGTCAGTCACGAGCCATTCACGGTGCACCTGCACGCGGGTCCAACCCGGACGGCTTCAGGCGAGCGTCTGCCTCCCGGAGATAAGTACAAGGGCCCCGACATCGTCTCCACGCTCGTGCTCCAGCCTGGGCACATTCTCTTCCACCGGCCTCTGGCCGAGCGGCGCTACCGCCTGGCTCCGGCGTCGCAGGCAGGAGACGGCCCAGCTTCGGACTACTGGGCTGTCGCGCTGACGAGACCTTTCTATCTGCCGCGCGAGAAGATCGTCAAGCATTGGCGAAAGATCATGGCTAAGGCTATGAAGAAAGTCGCACCTCCTCCAAAGCGAACGTCGAAGAAGTGGGCGGTCTACGAAAAGGAAGGGCGGGCGGTGGCGAAGTGGGCGGCCAACGTGGCGTCGGATGCCCTGGTAGCCCATAGAGCGAAGGTCAAGAGGTCAGGGATCATACTGGCGAAGATGCTGGCAGAGATCGCTGCAGAAGATTCCGACGACGGCGTTCAGCAGGACGCAGCTCGTCAGGCCAAGCGACCCCGACTCTCATGAAAAGAAAGACGCACTGAGGCGCTGCGTCTCACTTCGCTTTGAGTACGCTGTGCCCTTTAGTTGTCTCAGAAGCTGGCTGCGAATGAAACAAATGCTCGAGTTCAGCAGGCGTGAGCGTGCATCCGACGCTGCGCGAGGCCGTCTCGACGACGGGCTAAAAGGTGTGACGTTGAGCGCACTTCTCAACGATGCCCGCAGCAGCACTTCCTGTCTGCAAGTCCGCGCCGGCTCGATGAATTAATAGTGCTCGTTCATGCTGCTGCTTGAACTGGGAGCGAGCGCTGAACTCAAGCAGAGGCCGTCGAGGGTCCTGCGTTGCGTGCTTTCTTGCCGACGCGTGACCTCTCGCGCGCGCAGCGCTTCAACGGCGCGCCGCGCATGCGCCTCGCTCCGTTGCAGCTTCCTCTTCACGACCACCACAGCCCGGCGCAGTGGCAACAGAGACGAGGCGAGATGGCACGCCACGCTCGCACATCTGCTGGCTGGTGGTGCGAGAGCAGCGAGGCGCGACAAAAGACCTTGGCTGCCCATGCTGAATCAGCTCGAGGGCGTGTGACAGGGGCCGGTCCGCGACACTCAGTGTGGACAGCGCGCCGATGAGGCTGCAGAGCGCCGCATGGAGCAGCGAGCAATGGGGAAGCCAGCGCTTGAGCATCGCTCTTCAGCTCCACCACCGCCGCAGCCAGGGCAATCATGGACTCTCTCCTGCATTCCCTCCGCCGCGCTCGCGCTTTCCGCACCACGCTTCACGCCCAGCCAGGCGGCGCCGTCACGCTGCGTGCTGAGCTGCAACTGGCCGCCGCCGCCGCAGGAGCACGCGAGGAGGAGGACCCAGACTTTCACGTTGGCCTCTTCGCGCCGAGGGAGGATGCAGACTTCTCCGTCGGCCTCTACGCGCCGATGGAGGAAGCGAATGGCGTTGATCAGACGCAGGACGCCGCAGGTGAGTAGCGCTACATGACGGGTGGCGCGCGTGTGCTTGCTGAACAGCCCATTGACGCTCGCGGCGCCAGCTGCAGCACCTCATGCGCCGGACGTTGCTTATGCCCTGGCCGTCGACCGCAACAACGCCGTGGGCGCCGAGCGCAGCGTTGCCGATGTCTTTCACCCAGTGTCTACTGCGCCGTGCGTCGGTGCAGCTCCGCAGTTAGCTGGTGGTGCGTCGGGCGGAAACCAGCATGCGCCACGCGACGTCGTAGCCAACGCTGTCGACAAGGCGCAGCATCTCCAAGGCGCTCCGTCCTTGTCCGCGTGCAAAAAGAGGAAGCAAGGTGTCGATTCCGAGTCTCCGTCTGCTGCAGCTAGCAGCGTGACCGAGGCCAATGCAAGAAGGGCATCTGTCGTCTTTCTTCCTCCTGCGCATCACGGTCAGACCGAGCAAAGCAAGGCCAAGTCTGCGCCGCAAAGCCTTGAACAGGCAGCGGCAGCTGAAGATGCTGGCGCACGGGACGCTCTTCCCGAAGCTGCTGCGCCACCGTCTTGCTCTGTTCCCGCCAAGACGCCCGAGCGGCGCATAGTGCGCGGTAAAGAGCGTGCAAAACGGACGTATGACTGGCTCGTTCAGGATTTGCCATATCTTGGCGACACGATGCACGACAACAAGGATCTGTGCCTGCTTTACTTTGGCCGCCAAGTTGCTCACAGAGTGGTGAGGCTGCGCCCGCTTGTCGCTGAGCTCGTCAATCAGTTTGCACAAGGCAAGGAGCTCTTGAAGGCACTCTACTCTGCGCGTGACCCTCGGACGGCGTTCATGCCAGGGCCTCTCTTGCTTCATTCTCCGGGACAGGCTCTGCATGACTCAAAAACCAAAGACTTTCTCTTTTGGCTGAAGGATCTGTACGCTGCCTTCATACTCCGGCTGCATCTGCTCTGTCGCCCAAGGTCCAGACGGACTCGACTGGAGAGTCTCGTGGCCTCAGCAGCAACGCGCAGGCGCGAGAAGGAGCTTCAAGATGCCGCCCTAATGCGCCGCATTACAAATTCAAACTTCGCCGCTGACAGCAGCCGCTCGCACGGTATCGTGCCAGCGGGCATGCAGCGCCCGCGTGAGGCCTGTCCCAGGGGGGAAAGCCTGAGCGGGCGCCTGAGCGGGCATGCACGAAGACGCCTGCCGTGCGCTGCCCTGGCCAGCATGGCAGGCGACTTCCTTTTCGGGGCCTTCGCGCGCCGACTACATCGGTGCCTCTGAGTTGTAGTCGCCGGCTACAACTCCTCTTCAATGTAGTCGAGTGTGCAGCGTCTCGCTGGCACCGCCGCCGCCGCCCGCACCTGCACAGCGCCGCCCCTGTGTGGCGCTCATCCGCTTGCGCACGAGCGGGGCCGTGTCCCCCCCTTGGACGGAGAGCGGCGCTCGCGCCCCTCTTGCTTCTTGACCACCACCACTGCACACGTCCGTTCACGCCGCACGATGGACCCTGCTTGGCATGCCGGCCCGGGCTGGGCGTCTGCGTCAAGCCCCGGCCCACGCCGCGCGGCGCCCATGCAGCCGCCGCCGCCGCACACGCCGCATCGCAGCGACGCCCAGCGTCCCGTCCTTGCGCCTTTGCAGCAGCAACCGCAGCAGTACGATCCGTCCTTCTCGCCCTACGGCGGCTCCCACTACCACCACGCCAAGCAAGCGCTCACGTGGCGCGAAGACGAGGAGCGGCGCCACAAGCGCGAGCGCCTGCAGCTCGAGCAGCAGCGTCTCCAGCTTCAGATGCAGGAGCAGCAGCGCGAGCGCATGCAGCTCGAGCAGCAGCGTCTCCAGCTTAAGATGCAGGAGCTACAGCAGCAGCAGCAGCACGCCGAGGAGACCTTCCAGCGCGAGCGTCGCGAAGCGCTGCAGATGCACGCATGGTCATCGCCGTGGCAGCCGCCGCCGCCGCAGCAGCCCACCGGCCAGCATCACCAGTCGCCGTCGGCTGGCCGCGCGTTTCCCCGTCAGCACACGCAGACGCAGGCGCAGGCGCAGGCGCAGCCGCAGCCGCCGTGGCTGCGTCGTCCGTACAGCGGCCCATCGCCCAGCAGTGCGGGCACGTCGTCGACCATCCATCCGCGCTTCGAGAGTGTGGCTCCGTCGCCAACAAACGATGCCTTTGGCTCGGCATCGCCGCCCCTCTTTCCCGGCGTGCCGGCCCCGCGGCCGGTGTCGCCTTCGCTGAAGCGGCCGCTGCTCGAGGTCCTCAACTCGGCCGCACCGGCCGCGCGCGCGGCTGGCTCGTCGTCGGCAACTGCCGCACGTACTCGCGCATCGATGCCACCGCCGGGCGTGGGCACCTCAACGTCTTTCTCTTCGGCTCCAGCATCGGGCTCTCTGGCTCCTGCCTGGACCGCCGGCGTCTCCATCAACGACGAGCGCCCGCCCAAGCGCGCGGTGAGTCCATGCCTCTGCGCTCGTTCCGCACTCGCGAGCGGCACCCAGCTCCTTGTTCCTCCGCGCCGTCACGCCGTCCGCGCTTTTTCTGGCACTCTCTCTCTCTCTC